CACTTATCTTGTCGAATATTTACAAGTGTTATCGACGTAAGGTAATGGGGACGACTGGTTGCAAACTGCACGCCAAAATTTGCCACCAACATCTCAAAACAGTTAATACTGTGGGGGGGGGGGGAGAAGGCACGTCAACCAACTTAGGGTCGACCCCTTGAGAGAGGTGAGAAATACCCAACAAAAGACAGTGTCTTTCGTGGTGTATAGGTTGACTTGTGTTATGTACACGTTGACGTGTTCATCTGCGTCGATTAACCCATCATATCTCTCGATGGTGAGGCTCTTCCACATGACAAGCAGGGGTGTCTCCATGATTCCGTCAACGAATGGGTGTCTCTGGAACACACCCCCCCCCAGTTGTGATGAGGGGTGCACTAACTGTGGGTCGCCACTTGAAGGTTACTATTTGCTTCCCATTCCTGAATTTGTGTGATTATGGAGTGTTCAGTGTCATTCTCGTGTTAACTTATTTGTTGTGAAGTTCCTTCCTGCTCATTTAGCTCTCGGCATATGCGCTCGTTCCCTTGCCTTAGGGCATCTAGTTCTTCGGTGCTTCGCCTTTTAAAACTTTCTAATTCATTTCTCATTTTTATTATTAAATAAGCCTCATTCATATGATTCTATTCTCTTGTCAGTGGTCTCTTGCCACTTGTCATACTCCTTGTTGTCATCATATCCTCTATGATCCTTCTCTGCCCCACAGTGGGGGGCAAATGTTCTTGTTGGGCCAAGAACCTCCTACTAAATGGTGATCTAGCTTTGTGCTTTAGATGACGTGTTGTTGATATCTATGACATCGAGGTTCGATGTAATATGTCCGTGAAGGTGCAACCGGCATCCCTACCAAAGACACTCTGACGCTCAAAAGTAAGGAATACATGACCACTTGGAAGTTAATGTGTGTCCTCGTACCTTGAAAGTATTACCTATTTATACTACCTTTATGGGCCTTTTATGAGCTTTTATGAGCTTTGAGGAAATTAAGCTTTTTTGCTTTTTGGTGTGTGACCACATTGTAAAGGTCATTTGTGTTGTTACAATGCAAAGGTTGTCAACATGGCTATAGTGTCACGTGGGATCATTCGTACACGTATAATACATTTAGGAAACTATATTATTTTATAATTATATAAATCTTAATCAAATAATATATAATTTGTATAATGATATTGTGCGAAAAGAATAAAAGAAGATTAAATCTAAACACTCTGCCTCAAGTTGTTGCATATAAATCTCATATACCCAACTTAACGAGACATTTCGATAATACTGAATCATAGGTAATATCATAAGTAGCTTCATTTGTCATGATAAAGTTTAATAGGTTGTGTAAGTGAGTAACCAAGATCTTGCAAGAGGAATCTTAACCATAAACCTTCACAAATTCCAAAAAATTCCAAGTGTCAAACATCTGAACTTAGTTTTTGTACTTGAGTGGGAGACCATATTTTGTTTTCTACTTCTCCTGTAACACTGCTAACAAATGTAAAGTAGCTCCATGTTGATGGTTTATCTTCCAATGATTAAATCCAATCAACATCAGTATATAAATTTATTTGTTGATAGTTTGTATTTTTAGTAAATAATAATAATTTTCCAAATGCTGACTTTAAAATTCTTAAAATGTGTATAACTGCATTCATATGTTGCTCTCCAAAATATTGCTCTCCAAAATATTGATTGACAACACTTAATGATGGTAGGCAAGATAGAGTGTGCTAAGTACATCAATATTTTCACAAGTATTTAATGTTTTTATTTATCAACTAGACTTGATTTGATGTAGTAGATAACCTCAAATCTTCCTCCATTGATATATTTACAAACCGATAAGTCGACATATCTAGTTTTTTTTTTTTTTTTGTAAAAGTCTAATGCATATTTTCTTTGAAACAAATAAAATTCATTTCTTGGATCTAGATACTTCAATCATAGAAAATATTTGAAGGGACTAACATCTTTCATTTCAAACCTTTTTTTAAATACTCTTATAACATTTTACTTTGATTTGAATTATTTCCTATAACAATCATATTATTTACACATATCTTATTATTTCTTTGAAAATAAAATATGATTTAAATTACTTTGATGATATTGAAATGATGTCATAAATTTTGTAAATCTTATAAACTATGCTCGTGGAAATTGTTCTAATGCATACAAAGATTTTTTTTTAATTTGCGTACTTTTTGTTCTATTTTTTTCGAATACCATAAAACCCAGTGAGAGTTCCATGTCAACATCTATGGTTAATTAACCATGTAAAAATGCATTTTTACATTAAATTGTTTTAATGGTCAATCCATATTTGTTGTAAAAAACAATAATACTTGAATAATATTAATTTTTTATAGGAGCAAATATTTATGTGTAATCAACCACATATGCTTGGGTATATCTTTTTGCCACTAGTATTACTTTATATCTTATTGGCTTTTTTCCTGGTGGACAATAAACCAGAATCTAGTATCATTCTTTTGAGGTGAGTTCATCTCCTCATTCATAGCGACCTTTCATCTTGAATAAACTAAAACTTCCTATAAATTGTTCTGGATAGTTATAACATACTTGACTCATCAACATTTTGTTTGTTTCTAACCGTTTATGATTATATAGATAATGGTTCATAGGATATTTAACTTTATTAGAGAGTTATGATTCATAAGTAGGTTGAAAATTTCCTCTTGTAAAACGATTTGATAATTTTTTTAGCCAATGGGACTTGAATATTATCTCCAACAAGAGATTCACATGAAGTTTCAATATTATCTTTAACTTGAGATTCATATTGAACTTCAAGGTGAACTCTACAAGATTTTTGTGATGATCTTATATCTATTTCTTTTGTTTCATCTCCTAAAGGATGATAATATGAAATCGCGTCACTTAAATCTAAGTTATATTCTATAGTCTAGATTTTTTGGATTTGTTATCGATTCCTTCCCTAGAAACCAGATTTAGAAGAAAAATAGATTTTTCCTTTGTGGAAAACATTTGTTATTATATGAATGTGATTTGTAAGAGGATGATAATCCCTATATATATTTTATGTATAATATATCCAACAAAAACACATCGAATAATTCATAGAACCAACTTGTTGCGTTAATGCTCATGAAGATAAATAAATGTCATACATCAAAACATATGAGAGGTTAAATTAAAAACTATTGGGGAGCCAATTAAATTATAGTGTTTCAATAGGTATTTTAAACTCAATAGAACTGGAGGGATCTACTTTTTTAAAATACTGTTAAAATTAGAATTTCTTCTCTAAAACATAATGACATATGCGATGGTCGAGCTTAGTGAGAGGTGAGGAGATCATGTCTCCCCAAATTTTATAACTTACAATAATAGATGTTAATTTTTCAAACTTAATATATTTATATATTTACAAATTTAACATATTACTTTTTTATATTATTTCCCCTTTTCATATAATTACCACTTGTCCTAAACATTATGATATGAAAAAAAAACTAATATTCAAAAAAATTTAGTTTAAGAATCTATAAAATATAAAAAAAAATTGTACTTATTCAATCATCTAACCTAATAATATATATACATTTTTTTTACAATCATAATAATAGTTACAATTCATATATATTGATTTAGAATCACATTATTCTTAAAAATTTTAGGATAAACTTTAATGAAAAGAGAATTTTATAATTTTTTTTAAATTTATATATATTAAATTTAAATTATTTCTTTTTGGAAATATTATTTTAAAAATAATTTAAATTTACTTAATTTAAATAAAATATTTCATATCACAACATATAAAATATTAAATACATAAATTATCACCACATAATACTAGTGAAAATAATATCTATATATATTTATAAATAAAAATAATTTATAAATTTTAACTAAATTTTTATTAGTACTCATCGAAAAATAGTTTTATTGAGAGAAAATACTGATGAATAAATAATAATAATAATAACAATTTTAACAAAAGATATAACCATTATCAACATGAATTAAAAATCATGATTTACATAAAAATAAAAATCTCACCCAAATACAATTCTTATCGTTATATTGATTGAAAAAAAAACTTTAAAAAGTAAGTTTAAAACGTATTTTAATTGACTTTTATTTAAAAGTAATCTAGATTATATCAACTAAAAAAATAATAGAAATTAAAAAAAATATCAACCGAAAAATCACCGATAGAAAACCCTGACTAAATTTAATTAAAAAATAACTTTATATTTATTAACTACAAATAAATCATGATGTCTAACATTAATAGAAAGAGACTATGCATGCAATGAAACTAAACTAAACAAATTACATAAAAATTTAGAAATATAATTTTTCATTTAAATAGTTACAATTTCTTATTTTTTTCTATATAAAATCTAAAATTATCTAAATTAAAACAATCAAATTATCATAAAATTAAGAAAATAATAATAAATGAAATATGTAAAACAAAATTACAACTATTTTTTAGTATAAGAAAAAAATACAATTTATATATATTTTTTATTTTTTATCTACCTTTTTTTTAAAATATAATTTTTCTCAATTTTTTGTTTTGAATATAAATAAAATAATAAATAAAAATAATAAAATTATAATTTCTTCATTATATGTTTTTCTAATTGTATTTCACATTTATTTATCTTTAATAATTTAAAATTTTAAAAGTAAATATCTATATTTTAAAATTGATATATAAATTAAATTTTAATAAATTAAAATAAAAATCAATAAATAAACGATATATATAAAACGGTGTAAGTAAGTATCCGAAAAACTTAACCTACGTGGAAGTAGAAGATTCTGGGTCTTTCAAGCCAACAAAAATCAGTAAAGGAACATACAAAAAATATAAATACTATATTATAGATATTCTAACCTGTCTCTATGCATTCAATTTTTCTCTTCTACTGCTTTCTAGGGTTTCTTTGAAAACAATTTCACCCTTCTCTCTCCAAGGGCTGTGCATTCCCAGAGGACCTACCCTTCCAATGCCACTTCCGGCGAAACCAATGAGGGATTCCGACGAGTCGGCGATCCCTTCCAACAACCTGTGGGTAGGGAACCTGGCGCCGGACGTCACCGACGCCGATCTGATGGAACTTTTCGCCAAATACGGCGCACTCGACAGCGTAACCTCTTATTCCGCTCGCAGTTACGCCTTCGTCTTCTTCAAGCGCGTTGAAGACGCAAAAGCCGCCAAAAACGCTCTCCAAGGAACCTCTCTCCGCGGCAGTTCCTTGAAGATTGAGTTTGCCAGACCGGTTTGTCTTCATCTTTTTTCTTTCGCTTTCTCACACCATTCCTGTATTCCTCTTCTCCTTCTCTCAACTAATATATTCTTATTGATATTATTATTATTATTATTAATACTTTTGTTATTTTTGCATTCTAGGTTTTTGTTATTTTGTGTTTTTCCCTCGTTGCGATTTGTTTCACGAAATTGCTCGACATGCATGAACAATACTTAATCCAAATGCATGATTTCAATATTTGTCGTGTGTTTAGGTCACCCTTTGGTAAACTCTTCTGTAAAATTGATTTTGGATAAGATTAGTTTTCTAAAATGGATTTTAAGGGTTAATTTGATATTATATTTAGTGTTTTTTTTTCTTCTAATTTTATGCAGGGTAAATCATTTTACCAAACAATAATCATATACATTACATAGAAATAGGTGAAAATAATTGTGATATGTGACGTGAAATTTTTTAAATCAAATAAGTATAGAAATGATTGTGAAATCAAATACAATGTAGAAATACTGTAAACTCAATGAGTCTACGAAGGTTGGTGTGCAGTGCTGGGATTTTACGATTGGACGAAATCCTTAGTAAATTAGTCATGGTCATGGTGGTGATTTTACAAATTTGTAATGTAAGAATGAGATAGTTAAAATTGTTGAAATTTAAGGGGCAAATATTTCATTCCCTAATCACGATCGGTGTAAAGCTGGTTGGAGTTTGGTGACATAACTCTTGTTCTGTTGATAAATTCTTTACATCTCAAGGATCTGAAAGCTTGTTTTGTGGTTCCATTGTTCTTGTCACTCAAATTTATTTAATTCTAAAACAAAGATCTAGTAAGTTATGTAAACATGACCCAATTTATACAACAATGTTGTTCTATTAACTCAGATTTATTTAATTTAATTCTAAAACAAAGACTTGAAAAGTTATGTAAACATGACCCAAGTCAAACAGAAATGCATAGCACGAAGAGGCATTGTTGCAGAATAGTGCTTTACATGAGCTGATATGAAATTGATTTTGTCATCGAATGAGATAACTTTAAAACGTATATCATATTGATCTTACAAATGTGCATAAATTTATTTCTGTGCGCGAATATTTGAATAGTTTTGCAAACAGCAACAATGAAAGAAGTAAAACCCTCGCCAAAAGTCAGAATGGGTTGCTCAGATACAGCCTGACAGTAAATGCACAGCATAATGCGAATGAACAAAACCTTGTCTTCATCTTGCTCTGAGACTCTTGAAATTAGTTGTCATGAAAAGAAGAAGCTCTAATCTACGCGTATAGCTAAAATAAAATTGACTTAAAATAAATCTTTCAATCAACAAGTTAAGAAATATAAATTATTTGATTAACAAGCATTATGTAGGCAACAGAATGGAGTGTTTCTTACGGTCTGAAATTAGAGTATTTCTGCAAATAATAATCTGTTTAATAGAGAGGATAACTGATTAGTGGACAACTGGAATTAGTGCCTTCTAAATTATCTGAATTACAATATATCTGATGTTAGATTTAGAAAACATAATGCCCGTAATAGAGAAGAATGAATGCTTATTCGAGGTAAGTGAAAAATGCGTAACTTTGATTTTGTCCAATTAATTACCATTGGTTTTAGTTTGATTTTGGATACACTCGTAATCTCACTGTTGTGTGAGGTGGTGGTGATGTCCACCTAAATATCCTGCACTAAGCGATATTTTTCGGAAAGAAACCCACCGAACTGGGAAAATCTGTACAATCATCAAATAACTTTATTTTGCAGTGCCCTACGTTAAAAAAATGCTAGCCCATAACGTAACTATCAAGAAAAAAACCCCTAAGACAAATAAAATTAAAACGACAGTGGTGCATTGGTAGTATGAACAGTAATTTGTTATATACTAGGGTGTTTCGTTGTTATATACTGATAAATAGTTCAAACTGCAACCTGATGTATGATTGTAAAGGACACCCCTTAAATTGTTAAGAACTGTTGTTTAAGTCAAACTTAGATCGACCTTAAACTTCCAAACGCGGCTTTTTGGAAGACATTTTTCTGTACTTTAAAAAATTGGGTGAGGAGCAAAAATAAGACTTGCAGAAATAAGTACAAAATAGAAATTCTGATTTATACTACTCTATTGAAAGAGAGGGTTTGATAAAGTGAATCATACGATACAAAGGAGGATATCTGGCAATTAAGTATCTGCTATATTAATGTTGAGAAATGGAAGTCTGAAGAAGATCAGAATCTTGTATGAAATAGAACGTGCAAAAGGATAGGTGATGTGTTAATAAATTTTCTGCATTGTTTTAAAGTGAAAACAATTTCAGTCCTTTAATCAAAGTGGAACTTCTGGGAGTATTACGTAGTAGCTTTGGTTTGATACTACTAATCACACAAGTATGTATTTTTATTTAAACATTGTAGTGAGGTTGTATCATGTCAGATTTTAATTTACTATGTAATGTTTAGTTCTTTCATCATGGTTAGTTCAATTTATTTATTGAGACATAATATTCATCTAACAATATAATTAATAAAAGACAATTTTTTAATGTTTTATACCCAACTTGTATATCCTTTCTCCTTATATGATCAAAATACTAATTTAGTTGAGTTCAAATTTTAGTTCCTACCATTGTGCGGGTTCTGCTTTGTGCTGAAGTGAAATTGATAGATTGATATTTATTGTTCTTTTCTTGGCAAACCAAGATGTGACTATCTTTTCAATAGTTCAACTGGGAAATTCAAAGTATGAGCTTCTCCTTCAAATGTTTTGAAGCAAAAGTACAATATGCTTTAATTAGTATCGACTATTAAAATCACATGCTTGTTTCTTTCTGTAAATATATGTATGTAGGTGGTAAACTCTGTATTTTTCTATCGTGTGTTTAAGTGAGCAAAAAATGTTGTTCTCAGGCAAAGGCATGCAAACAGCTTTGGGTGGGTGGTATTAGCCCATCTGTTACAAAGGAAGAACTGGAAGCTGAATTTCGTAAAATTGGTAAAATTGAGGATTTTAAGTTCTTCAGAGACAGAAATACTGCCTGTGTTGAATTTTTCAATCTGGAAGATGCTTCTCAGGCCATGAAAATAATGAACGGGAAAAGAATAGGTGGGGAGCATATTCGTGTTGACTTCCTTCGATCACAAGCTACAAAAAGGGTAAGTGTATTTTTATATGTTGTTCTTGTTTGGTTTTCTTCCATTTCTTTTTATTGTTCAATTATCTATAGAGTAATTAAACACTCATTCTGATGCCTCATGTTGGTATTTATAGAGTAATTACAAATAGGTTAGTGGGGAGTGATTCTTTCAGAATATTTTTTGCATATTTATTGAGTCAAATGTTTTTGTATGATGGCTTTCATTCAAGAATTGCTGGACTTGCTTTGTTTCCTTTTTATATAGGTTTTTCTCTTTGCATGTTGCTTTGATGTAAGTTAATGTTTCCTTTGCTGATTGCTGTAGGATCAGTTGCTGGATTATGGTCAGTTTCAAGGAAAAAGCTTGGGGCCTAGTGATGCTTATTCTGGACAGAAAAGACCACTGGTGAGGGTCCTTTGGATTGTGCATCTAATTGCAAGTTTGTCACTTTTTTGCATTTTTTTTGCTCATCTGTTTGCCATTGGTTTGTTGGATTGGATGTAATGTGTCAGTTGTAGGAAGACAATGCATTAATTACACAAGCATGCTCTATGTTTTTTGTATACCTGTGGCTTGAACTGTGTCAGTTTATAAATACTTTTCTCGTGTCAACAGCATTCACAACCTCCAATGGGAAGGAAAGGGGATGGTCAACCAAGCAATGTTTTGTGGATTGGTTATCCTCCTGCTGTTCAGATTGATGAACAAATGCTCCACAATGCCATGATTTTATTTGGTGAAATTGAGAGAATCAAGAGTTTTCCTTTGAGGCATTATTCTACAGTTGAGTTTAGAAGTGTGGATGAAGCTCGACGTGCAAAAGAGGGCCTTCAAGGGCGCCTTTTTAATGATCCTCGAATAACAATAATGTATTCCAGCAATGACCCAGTCCATGGCAGTGATTACCCTGGCTTTTTTCCTGGAAGTAATGGACCAAGGCCTGATATATTGCTGAATGAGCATCCATTTCGACCATTACAAATGGATGCATTTGGTCATAATCGTCCAATGGTTCCAAATAATTTTACTGGTCAGTTACCACCTAGTGGTATTATGGGTCCAAATGTACCAATGCGACCTTTTGGTCCTCACAGTGGTGTTGAATCTGTTATTTCTGGCCCGGAGTTTAATGAGATTAATGCGCTCCACAAATTTCAGGATGGTAGCTCCAAGAGTAACATGGGTCCAAACTGGAAAAGACCATCTCCTCCTGCACCAGGGATGCTTTCTTCTCCTGCACCGGGTGCTAGGCATCCTACAAGATCAACTTCGGGTGCATGGGATGTACTTGACATAAACCATATTCCAAGAGATTCTAAACGTTCAAGGATAGATGGACCCTTGCCTGTTGACGAAGCCCCCTTTCCTTTGAGGAATATAGATGGACCCTTACCTGTTGACGAAGTAGGTGGTTCTGGTCCATATGCAAACATTCAAGGAAAGAGTCACCTTGGTCCAATGAGCTCAAGGATTACAGCTGGAGTTCAGGGTATGGTCCAACCTGATAACGATCATACTTGGCGTGGAATTATTGCAAAAGGCGGAACTCCCGTTTGTCGTGCTAGATGTGTACCAATTGGGAAAGGGATTGGAACTGAGCTGTGAGTATAGTTTTATCTGTCTGTCTATAATATCAATTGTAAAATTTGCATCTGTAAGAGAGAAGAAAGTTGGAATATTGCTTGGAATCTGTTTATTTCTGTTGACTTATTTTTGCATTCACGCCTTTTTCATTGCTAGCAAAGTGCAAACGTAGGATATTCTCTTTAATCTGCGTGTTGTTTCTTTTCTGCAAGAAATATAAGTTTTACGAATTTGACTGGTTTGTGCTGTCAGCAGGATAAGTGGTGTGCTTATTTTCTTTTATTTTGTTTCTGAAAAAAAATAAAATCTTAAACTCTATGCTTTTTAGTATATTGTAGATATAGATGTTAACTGACTTGATCATTTTTTCTTTTCTTATGCACAAACTAGTGACACTTAGTTGTTTTATGCTTTTGAAAATTCCAGTTTCTTGTGGTAGAAATGTATTTTATTTAGATTACTGTTTTAATGTTGTAATTGAAGTTTGTTTTTTCTTTGCTGCAGTCCAGATGTTATTGATTGCTCAGCTAGAACGGGATTGGATATACTAACTAAACACTATGCCGATGCAATTGGTTTTGATATTGTATTCTTTCTGCCTGACAGTGAAGATGATTTTGCATCATATACTGAATTCCTTCGCTATCTCAGTGCAAAAAATCGTGCTGGTGTTGCCAAATTTGTGGATAACACCACATTATTCTTGGTGCCTCCTTCAGATTTTCTCACAAGAGTTTTGAAAGTCAGTGGACCTGAGCGACTATATGGTGTGGTTCTGAAGTTTCCACAAGTGCCAAGTAGTGCACCTGTGCAACAGCCATCACACTTGTCTGTACCAACTACTCAGTATATGCAGCAGATTCCTCCGAAGCAGACTGAATATGGTTTGACTCCTATGAAAGAGGAACAGGTTTTGTCAATGGATTATAAGAGACCATTGCATGAGGATTCTAAGCCTCCTTCTAAATCAGTCTACCTACCTACAGGTGGGCCCCCTTCAGTTCATTCTGTGCTTCCAGATTATGCTCCTAATAATATTGTTACTGGGTCCCAACCTGGAGTTGCATTAACACCTGAGCTTATTGCAACTTTAGCTTCTTTTCTCCCTACAACTACACCATCATCTGCCACTGATGGTGCCAAGTCTGGAGTAGGTTCCTTGACCATGAAGCCTCCGTTTCCTCCCGTGGCACCAAATGATGGAAGTCAATCTTATATATGGAAACAGGACAATCAAGTTGCTGATCAATCCACCCATCCTCCTCAGCAGTTGAGGAGTATGTATAACGTTCACAATGCTCACTATCAGCCCTATCCACCAGCATCTGCTTCAGCTGGCAATCCTGCTCAAGTTGTCTCTGGCAGTTCTCATATCCAAGATACATCAGCCAGCATGCATCAGCAAGGTGCTGTTTCATCAAGACACATGCCTAATTTCATGATGCCTTCTCAAAGTGGACAAGTAGCTGCATCCCCTCATGGAAGTCAGCATTATCAAGTTGAAGTTTCCCCTAGCAATCAGAAAAGCTTTGGAGTGGTGCAAGGAACTGATGCCTCTGTTATATACAATTCTCAGGCTTTCCAGCAACCTAATAACAATCCACTCCCATTCCAGCAACCTAATAATTCTATTGCCTCAACTAATCAAGTTACTGGTGCTACTTCTTCACAGCAGCAAACTAGCATGCCATATACAGTCGGCCAAGTAAACTCAGAGACCCCAAATCAGCAACTTTCTGCTTTTGGAGTTGGTCAAGGCACACCAGAGGTGGAGGCTGATAAGAACCAGAGATACCAGTCAACATTACAGTTTGCTGCCAATCTTCTTCTCCAAATACAACAAAAGCAACAGCAAGCGCCAGGAGGACATGGATCGGGAATTCAACAATGAGATATCTCGAGTAAGTAATCGTTGCAGCACTAATTCTTTTTTTTTTTTAAATATATGATTCCTGCTATTCACTAGTCTAGGTTGAGTCTTTAATTCACCTATGCAGATTCTGTCCATATTTATGTTTTTGTTCTAAATATTTTAATGTCATTGATGTAATGATATATTGCGCATGACTTTCTGGTTGCTTACCTTAGTTTCAATTGCAAATGATATGTAGGTTCATAGACAAAGTAAATATGAAAATCTTGAGCATATAAATTTACAGAGATACAGTAAGCCCTTATAAACAATTATTTGGCTGGAAGTCTGTCCAAATATTTATAGACAAAGTAACCTTTTCTTATTATGATATTAATATAGTGCTTTACATTGCACAGCCATGGGTTGGCTTCCCTCAAATCCTTTTCACTTGTCTCTTTGATCTAGGCCCTTTCTGATTATTGTTTTATGTGTCTGGCCCACATCTTGAAGATTTAGTAGTGTTACATATTTGATGGTGAGCATAATGGGATTAGGTTGTGAGTACTGAGCTGCTAATTTTTGTCGATGAACCACATCAAGCTCTGTTGATTTCTCTTGTTTTCTGCTGCATGTCTGGTTAGAACTAGGTAAACTGTTAATTTTTCAAGCTAAGCTTTTGTTCCTTTCTCTCATTGTCTTAGACATCTCTTCTGATTTATCTAGTCATCTGACAAACAGCTGGATAGTTTTCTCCATTTGGGAAAACTCGTGATTTGAATTTTAATAGATCATGGACTCACTTCAATTTTTGGGCTTTGTTTAGGATTTATATTTTATCCGGGAAGTATTAGGCAGTAAACATAATTGACGGGTAGTACATAGTGAATTTGTATTTCTGGTAAAACTTCGAAGAAATATCCTTGGCACAAAGGCAAATGTGACATTAAATGGCTGGAGAGAGTCTCCTTGCAGAAATGAAGAAAAAATGATACTCTCACTAATGAGAGTATCTTCTACTGATATGAGAATTACTACTCAATGCAAAATCCACACAATTCCCACTTCACACTCATCAAGCCCACTCATTTTGTTACTTCTTAATACCTCCCCTCTCTCATGTTTCTGACATGTCCCTCCTCTCCCCTATCGCCAGCTTTCTTTCATCTGTGCCTGATCCTCTGCCATTTGTCATCCATTTATTTTTCCTCACATATATCCACTGTCCTTGCTCCTTTGGCTCAACATTCACATTTCCCCCTCCTGCATTTTCTTCGTCCCCTCTCTTTCTATAAACTTTCACAATGGATCTATTGTTAGGATTTGAAGAAATTCATCGTGGTTGGTCCAATAATGATTTTGACCTGTGGATGCACTGTCAATTTGTACTTTGTCTTCAATGGCCGTAAGGTTAAGAGCTATAGCTGGTTTGTTGTGTCAGTTTAGTCATCATTGATAATAGGGAGGATCATCTGATAGGCTTGTGCGTTAGAAACACTTTGGTATAATATAATTAATATTGTGGTTGGTCCTTGTGGGAAAATAAGTTGTTTCTTACTCCCTCTAGTCTCAAATTCAAGTAAAAAATTGTTTTGCACTAATTAAGAAAGTTTGTAACATTTAATTGCACCAATTTCATTAAGAAGAAATAAACATTTTTTCCTAAATTACTTTTCATTGGAAGTAGATATAAAAAATAAGAGTAATTGGAAATAAGACCCCAGTTAAATGAAGGTCATTTTAGTGTTACTTTCATTAAATTAATTGAGATTAGTTTATATTTGAAAGAACATCCAAGATATTTGTTGATTATTTGAGACTGGAGGGACCCATGTAGTATTACTCTCCCCATCTAATATTTCTTCCTTACTAGATATCATCAACTGACCCCATTTCAGTTATGACTAGGTAAATTCTGTAGTGATACCCATTTTATATTACTGTTTTTGTTTTGTCTCTGATATCTTTCTTTCTGTTTTTGTTATCTCACTAGTGTACTTTGACAGTTTGGTTGCATGCTATATACTAATTATAGGACATGAAAACTTTGTGTGATAATAACTTATTTTCTTCTGGGTTTTGTATCCATTATTTTTAGGCTGTAGGCTTTGATCTTTCTTGTCTTCTTTTTTCACCTCCTGAAAGGTAGTTTTTAGGGTTAGAAATTCAGTCGCTTGAACTTATTTTATTGTGACCTGTAAGGTGTATAATTTCCACCGTGTAAGAATCTTGAATGTGCTTCTAAAGATTATGGGAAGATATTTGCTGATTACATTTGTAAATGTAGAGTTAACTTGTTTACTACTCTCCTAGCTAACTATAATCCAGGATTTGTAAATCGAATCAACAAGTTTTGGTACCACATGCCAATTGTGGTTTTCCATTTATTTTCTCTATGCCTCTTTCAAAATTCAATTACCCTATAACTTGTTATTGAGACTTGTGAGGTGTAATTCCCACTGCGTAAGAATATTAAAGGTGTTTCTTCAGATCATGTGAAGACACTTGCAAATTAATGTGCAAATTTAGAGTTAACTTTTTTCTAATACTTTCCTAGCTAACTGTAATCAAAGGATTAGTATCAAATCAACAAATTCGGTGCCACTTGTCAATTGTGGTTTTCCAGTGATTTCCCCTGTCTTTCCTTCAAGATAGGGGGACACAGAAATTATAAATTCAGCTTAGGGATAAGAGATATAATAATAATAACCCCAAGAACTCGACACGGATTGAAATTTATAAGAACTTTGAATCTATCCTAATTGGTTACCAACTTGGTTAGATTAACTTTTTAAAATTTGGTTATATGAAATTTTGAACAGAAAACTTTAGATCCTACCTGCACTATTTAAATTTAGCAACAATTTTATAATATTAATGTGGTCAGTCTCTTGCAATTGGTATGTGGGGCAAGTGCTAAACTTTACCATTTACTTCCTAATATGAAGGCCAAGTTCTTGAAGTTAGAGTAGCGTCAGAAATGTGCTATGGAAAGGCGTCAGAAATTTATCCTCGTTAGAGGGCTAATGAACTTAATTGCATGCATTCTTTTAAATACTCTATCAATCATGTTGGTTTCATTTGAGTATACGTTGTTGGAGAAAGAAATAGAGCAAAGCACATGGACATTCTGTTCCATGGCTAATGGTTGTTAGTTGGAATTCTATTAAAAACATATAAAGGTGAAAATTCGACAACATTGCAGTAATGGTCAACTACACTAAAATAAAGGCGAGTGATAATTACATATTTAGTTTGTTAAAACTGTTATTGAGCCTTGATTACGCATTTCTTGTGAAAATATCATATCTTTTTAAAATTACTTGATTAAACCTAGCAAAAAAGAGTCTGGGTGTAGAAAATATATAAAAATGAAAATCCCTCCTCACATTTGTTTATTCAGTCCCAATGACTTCGTGCTGAGTATGAGCTAGATTTGTCATAAAATAATGTGTCACCTTCAGAATTTGTTATTGTGAGCATTGGTACAAAATTACTGTCATCCTAAGTGACTTTCGGGTCCTCAGTTTGTTCTTTGTTGTCAGCAATGCCTTTTAACCAACACCTTGATGGAATTGATCGAATAAATTTTATCTTGTTAATAGAAACTACCAAAAACATTAGAACTAATTTTTAACATCGAAATACTATGATAACGTGTTGATTAATGATTAGTTTATGGCTTAAAATTATGTGTGATGCTAATAGTTAATAGCCGGTGAGTGTTGAGTGCTACTTTCATGGTATTCTCACCCATTAATGCGTAAACTACTCTGAATCCCAAGGATGCCTTCGTAGATCATTTGCGTAGAGATTCTGTTCTTGTGCTGACGTATTCTTGGTTTGGCATTACATAGTTCGAAGTATATTCAAAGCGATCCATTAAGTTTCTGATGCGTTCGATTCATTTCGTGGTTTAGTATTCTCGTCTTTAAGTTTCCTACTTCGTCGCACTTTCTGCTTGGTTAGGTTCTACACATGACTAGGTTCTCTGCGGTTGAATCAACTGCATCAATCCCAACCATTAAAATTAAGTACATATTAACTTATAAAATGGAATGCAAGATGATAAAATTCTGAACCTTGATTTAAAACTACATGACCTTGTACTTCTTTTTAAACCGTAGTTGACCCTATTTTCACCTTAATAAAAAAGGTTACATTCGATGGACAATGGCATAAAATTATTGACTGTACGATCTGGCAACACTAGTGATTTAAATGGACATGCAAGTTATGGTCCCTTGTACGATGTGATTTTTTTTTTTTCTTATTTCCATCATATATGTATATCTCCAACTAAATAAATATGTAGCTGCCCCGTTATCGTAAATCTTGAATCATAATGGTTTTACGCGTGTAAGTATGATTCCGTCGTTGTTTTTGCACTTTGCGTTGAGGTTATTATTGCGCAACGTAATTATGAGATCATTAACAATTTCTATAGGTTCTGCCAGGTCATTATATCCTAATCGTGTCGTATTTTTTTTTTTTTCGTATTCTTTATGGACGCGTAGGTAATGGTCGTGCTTAGAAAGATGCATGCGAAGGTGACGGTGACTTGACGATTGTTCAACAGCAATTTCTATTTAATCATTTATGAAAGGAATTATCATTCATCGCCAACTTACTCATTCTTTCTAACTCTCACTCTCTACAAAATACAAAGGTGTAAGGCTGGTTTTTATTGATACTGTTCAATGGACATAATTTTCATCTCAGATATCGTGCCAACTGGAGTGTGCCCAGTTTTTTGGGCTACCGACGCAACGTGTGAGAGAATATTTGCATTCGACTGTGGCACTATAGCAACTAAGTTTCGTTTTCGTTAGCACTTTTGTTCTTGTGTCACCTTGGTAGGGAATCTCGTGGATGCTCGGTTGTCCAAAGTAGTGTTCATGTTTGTAATATTTCCGAGATTGCTTGAAAATAGATTATGGTTCGTTCAAATCTTGATTATTACATTATATAATCTTATGCTTACTTCAATTTTTGTTGCACTAAGAAACTAATGGTTGAAGAATTTGTGGTAGGCTAGAGTGAGAAATAGCTACGGTGTTGATTTTAATATTCCTATCTTTTTTAAAACAAAATGTTTTTTTGGATTTTAATAAAATGAGACTTTTTTTCAATCTATCTCTTATTTTTACATCACAATAAATGTATATCTGTAAATTAATTTAAATATTATTGATTGTTAAAAAGGTTAATAATATTATTTTGAACTTTTGAAATGATAAATTGAATAAAATCATTGGAAAGAATACTTGACATTTGATTACACTGTACCAGATAAAACCGGGCCAATACTAAGGGTTTCCTCGTCTCCTGTTTCGGAACGATAAAATGGGTCAATAGGTTCAGTTTCTTTTATCCGTCTTTGATCTCATCTCATCCTTAACATATGAAAAACAGTTAAAATTATCAATCTAATATCAAATTTAAGACGGTTAGTGAATTAGTGGGTTAGATCTCACTCGTTTAATTATTTATATTTATAATGGTTAGAGTTTGATGACATAATTTATCTCGTGATTTAATTTATTACGATAAAGTCTAAATGGATACAATAAGATATAATAAAGACAAAATAATTAAACTATATAAAATAAAATGAGATGTAATGGAATAAAAACATGACATGTGAATTGATGCAATAAGATACAACAAAAAAAGGAAAATTAAAATATAATAGAATAATGTGAAATGTAATGGAATAAAACTTTAATCATATTATTCATATGGGAATACTTGTATAAAATGAAATGTGGTTTGTTTTACATTTTATCTTTATTTTATATTCACTGCCATATTTACTTCCCCATCATTAACTATGGCTAATACCTTCAAATTCTATAAAAAAGGAGAGACATTCTGTGACAGTGATGTTTGTGTCATAAAATTTTTCGCAGACAAAAATATTTTATCAACTTCTATCAAATTGTTGTGGTGACAGAAATCAGAAGCAAGTTTATGGTGCTTCTGTGTATCCCACCAAAACTCTCCAACAAAGTTTCCCTAAAATCAAATTTAGCTCTGCAATTTTATATAGTATAAAGATTTATCTTATCATGTCATTTCACACCATCTTCAATTATTCAATGTGTGTCATAGAAAATTAAGATAAAAAATAATTTTTTAAAATTTATTTATAATAAATAATTATTTAATATGGTACAATAAATCTATACTTTATATTTTTTAAAATAATAAGCAACTGTTCTAGTTAGAAATATCAAGAATATTATTATTTATTAGTAGAAATAATTTCTAAAATAAAATTCTGTCATAAAATACAGTTATAAAAATTGTATCCTCTTGGTATAGTTCTATAGATTTCCAGACGTGGATTTTATTATTTTTCTTCTTCTGTAATTTTCTCGGTTTTTTGTTATAATTTATGATGACATAGAGATAACTTTTAATTTGGTATATAGGATGAAAATTGAATTCATAAATTAATCATATATTATAAAAACCAAAACTATAGAAAAAGAATCTCAGTTTTTATTATATTTGTTGCAGCAGGGTTGAGGCAATAGAAGTGCAGTAGAAGTTGATCGTTGAGAGCGTGCGATCGAGAAAGCAGAAACATGGGGTTGGAATCGGTTGGAGATTTAGCGATTAACGTGATTCTCAACAAGTTGGGAGCCAAAGACATTGCCAGAGTCGCGTGTGCCAGCAAAAGGTTTAGGTCTTCTGCTTCCGATGACACTCTTTGGAGCAATCTCTGCTTCCATGAACTCGCTTTGAACCAACCCGTCGATCATCTCGGAAACCCTCTCCCTTCCTTCAAGGTCGCCTTTTTAAAAAAAAAAAAAAATTTCCCTTCATTTTGCTTGAACCTCTGTTTTTGGGTGATTGTTATTATGTGGAAAAAAAAAGATGCTTTGAAAACCCCTCTGTATTTGTCATTGGTTGGTTTCTCTTTTTGGGTCAACTGATGAAGTTGTCTCTTTGTGGATTTTGTTTTGTTTGTGTTCTTTCAATTTCAGGCTTTTGGATGTCTTTGTTGCTGTGTTGTCCCTTGTGGCTGAAAAATGTGGTGTTGCCTTGGTCCAATTGTGAAACAGGGTGAAGTTGTTACCCTATTTAAAAGTGTGTCTATCTTCTTGTGGTTAGGTTATAGTGGAATATATGTAATGCCGCGTGGAATTGACATGAATGGGATGATGGAGTAAATTGATGATGCCTTGTTTAGATATTTTTTTGGTGGAGTAGAGTTAAGTATCGGTTTCATTATTTGGGAAATGGAAGTGAATAGAATAATAAGAATTATGCCTGAGATGATTTGATGGAATGGGCTGGAATAGTCTTCTTCATGTTCCAGTCCATGCTTTCCACTTATTAAAGAAATGAAAACAATGATATATGATGATATTCCATTTGGTCCCTCTATTTCTTTCCATTTTTTTGACACCAGTCAGCTTGTAGATCTAGCGTACTTAACTAGTTTACTTAAACGTTATTGCAACACTACTTATGAAACTAACTTCTTACTTTCCTGTTTGCCTGTTGACGTACCTGCTAAATTTATGTTTGTGAAGTGGGCATCATTTTCTTTCTTTCTTGTGGAGGATGTGATATCAGAACTTATAGTTCTTCTTAGTAATAGCTTATTATAGTAGGTTTGCCTAGTTTGACAGACATCTTGTTGAGGGGAGGATGTTGGAAAGAATTTTACGTTGGTCGTATCAATTTTTGGTGTCCAACTTACATATATATATATATATATATATATATATATATATATATATATATATATATATATATATATATATATATATATATATATATATATATATATATATATATGTTGGATCACTTTGCTTATTCCCAATTTGTCAATTAGTACTAAGTTGAAATTTTGACATGATATTAAAATCTATAGATTTTCTACTCATTGCCTATTTTAATAGGCATCTTGTCAAGGAATTGTTTGCGAGACTCCCACATCATCCACCTTAATTCTCAAGGTACTGCATATAAATATGTTAGGCCACTTCACTTATTGTCATTTGGTATTAAGTTGGATTGTAATATGGTATCAAAAGTTATAACTCTTCTTAGTCATAGTCTATTATAGTAAGCTCATTTGGTTTGGTAGACCTTTTTCTCGAGGAGAAATGTTGGGGAGAGTCGTTTGTCTCAATTATCAGGGTACGACTTATATATATATATATATATATATATATATAGAGAGAGAGAGAGAGAGAGACCACTTTAGTTATTGTCAATTAGTATTATGTTGAAATCTAACATGTGATAGATGCTTTGTTGCTAAAGATTCTTGATGATAGATGCCTTGTGTTTGCTAAATTTCAAATAATGTGTTGGTACAGCTAGAAATCATACGATCTCTGTATTATGCAGGAATGTTATCAAGCATGGAGAGAAGCTTTTGGTATGTATCCTTGGTCTCTTGTTAAACGGGTGAAAAGGTGCTGGGATAGAATAAAAACCTGGTTGACCAATAATTTTCCTGAAGCTGAGGCCACCCTTTGTAAAGGGGCAACTGAAGCTGACATTCAGATGTTGGAGAATATGTTAAAGGTGGAGTTGCCACTTCCTACAAGGATCCTTTATCGTTTTCATAATGGGCAAGAAATCGTAAAAGCAAATCTAGAAACTAGTACATTTGGAAGTTCTTTGGGTCTAATTGGTGGCTACTCCTTATATAATCATTTGGTGAATGTTTATCTATTACCTATACATCAGATAATCCTAGAAACACAGCATATTAGGGATCGCTTGAGCTTTTTTAGAAGATCCAAGTTTGTTCTTGTGGCTGCTTCATCCACACTCCGTAGAAAGATGTTTTTCCTCAACTGTTCCAATGGTCAACTATATGTTGGAACCAAGCTACTTCGTACTGAAAGAGACATAATCCCTTGTGTACCTCAAGATTTGATAAGTTTACATCAGGAATCAAATGGTGACGAGCAACAAGATGCCATGCTACTGTGGTTGGAAGAACATGGTCGCCGTTTAGAGCATGGCTTCATCAAACTTTCTGATGAAGGAAATGGCAGAAGCATTAATCTTTTCCCAGATGAACCCCCTATCTGTTCAACGGCTGTTACTAATGGTGTGAAGGTAATAGCGTGTATAACACTCTTTATGCTTGTTCTATTACCACTGTATCTTAGGGCATGAAAAACATTATTGCCTTTGTAGTGGTTGATGCAGTTGATATTGTGGTTACATTGAATAAATATTGTAGTGAGATTGTCATATACCTTCCTGAGGTTTGAATATTTATAATTACACTATAAACGAGGACAGAGTTTCTTGGATTGGATCTGGAGCTTCTTTTTTCATTTTTCTTGTTTTTGTCACTATTCATCGAGGAAGAAAATGGTTAGTGACTTTTGCTCATTGATGATGCATGGGATATTCCAATTCACATGTCTTTTCTCATCACTACTGAATTCTCTTACAATTATTGCTTGGTTCTGGTATTTCGTTTTCTCTTGGAAACTTACAAGTGTTGCTAATATCTCCAGGTTCGTGCTTCTGCATTGATTATCCCTGAGTTTATAGATCCTCAAGGTGACAGTGAAAAGTACTTATTTGCTTATTCGATCCGCATGTCCCTGGAACCTCAAGGATGCTTGATTGGTGGAATGTCCTTCAGCTCTTGCCAGCTCCATTGGAGGCACTGGATCATCCGTGCTAATGATGTTGTTGTATCGAATGTCAATGGAGAGGCTGTTATAGGACAGGTATAAATTCCCATTTTCCCCCCTCAATTTCCTTTTTTCTGTGCCGTTAGTTTTATCTACTGAAGTGATGATATTTAGTGAATATGCTGTTTAGTCTATTTCATGCGTTGGCTGTTGGAGATAGATCTTTTAAAATTGAATCAATAGTTTTGAAATGCTGGATGAGATATTAGCCGTGAAAAGTGTGTAGCTCTTCAGTGCCTGGGCAATAATCCAGCTGTATTGACTTCGCTTGGATTTTACATTTATCAGGATCAAAATTTGGATTTAACAGCTAATCTAGGTGCATCATTACTGATCAAGGTCTCACTATCTGAATACATTGACAATCATCTAAATGTTTCACCTGTATTTTGGTATGTTGAATATTTACAACGAGAAGTTTCTGTTCAGCTGTGAGTCAATTGTGAAATTTCTCAAAAATACATAATGGGACGCTGCCATTGCCTTTCTATGAGCTAATGTATGTGGCCCTAGTCTAGTAAAATTTTGTGGCTTTGGTTTTTGGTGCATATATTGATTGTTGTATCAAAGTTATGCTGCTAGCTTAGTTAACCTGGTAATTTGCTTTATAGCTTTCGTGCTGATAGAGTCATCCTTATGTTCAACTCTTCAAACTATATAAAAATTGAACTGATTTAGTGGTTCCGATTTCCAAAAGTAGCAAATGTTTACAAGTCTTAGTTTTGGAACTTGGAAGCATGTCTCAAAACTACATTTTTCCCAGAAAACAAAGAGAATTGTCTTCATTTTTATGTCCAATTATCTTAGGTAAATAAAGTGGTCAAAGTGTCAAACTACTAAGTTGTGAATCTCCATGCAGTATCCACTTTTGCGTCCTGGTGCTCAAGAATTTGTTTATCAGAGTTGCACACCTTTACCAACACCATCTGGTTCCATTGAAGGTTCTTTTACATTTATACCTGGAAGGTATGCATTTGTTATTTCAATTTTTGTTTGTGACAAGTGATTTGATTATCTATGATTAGTTAGGCAATGTAGGAATACGTGAATTGTGGATTGAGCAAATTTCTAATAACAAGTTAACGTGAACCTTTTTTCTTTTATACATGAAGTCCACATGAACTTTATACTTGATGGTTTTTGTTTTTTGAAGGGTGAGTAAATCAGTGTGTGTGTGGGTGGGGGGGAGGGAGGAAGTTGAAGATACTTTTGGTGAAAATGAAGTTCCAGTGGAAGAAAATTTCAGATAGCAGGTGGTTTAGGGAGTTCAGGAAGGCTAAGTGAGGGTTTAGGGTGAGATCATGACAATTATAAAACTTGAGTGAATATGGTTCCAGTGATTGGTATGCTGTGCATGATGGCAAGGTAGAGAAACATGAAATGTTCCACAAAACTGAGATCCGTGATGTGTCCTTCCAGTGTAAAGAGGTTGTATTCAATGTTTTTCTGCAATCTATATCTCTAGTTAGTACTGTTTGCATAGATTATATCTTTGCCAACTTGAACCACATTCATCATCCAAATGTTAATGTTTCCACGGGATCCCTTGATTTACAGCAAGCTACAAAACCATGCATTTGTTATTTTGTGTGAACTAGCCCTTGTTTTTTATTCTGATTTCAGCTTGGCAATCCCAAAAGGAGACCCTTTTCTAGCTACAGTGGCACAATTCCCGCTCCAGCTGCCAGATTATATTTTCTGATTTTGATTCTGAATGGGAATGAAGTATCTCTATTTGCCAATTGCAGCTCCCCAACACTGCTTTTGCGCATTATGTCACTTAGTGAGAGTTGCTTGGTTCTTGAGTTTTTATTCTTTTAAGTTGAACCTGCACTATTTCCCTACACATAATCTATCTGTATTTAAATGGTAGTGTAGTAATATTGAATTCCTTGCGTTCTTGACTTGTCTCTTAACTCTGTAGCCTCCACTCACTGCATATATGCATGCAATTCAATGATACACATTTAGTATCGTGACATTATGGATGGAATATTATTCACGATCGAATCTTAGTTGTTAAAGTAAAGAAATGTCACAGAATCCGATCCATCTCTCTGCTTTTCTTAAAAGTGAAAATATTATTATACTACTTCTACCATCGTAAAAGCTTTTCTTTTTCTCTTTTCTGCAAATAAAGTTTATAGAGAATATAAGAATATAGATTTCAATTTTATCTCTCTTAAATACACCACAGGTAAAGAAAACAAACAATAACATTATTATTGGACACAATAACGGATAATTTTCTGTTCTGACTATTTAATTCAGAGTAAATATATTTAATATTCTCTATTATTAAAAAAATCAATGTAGAGCTTACTTATGCATAAAGAAGTATTTAATATTGTCAAAGAAATGTATAAATACTAACATAATAGTATTGAATGTGTGGAACATATCATATATTTAATATTCAACAGTAATCTTAGCAATTTATGATATAATACTACTTCACTTAAACTATTTTATCCTGCACTAATATAATTTTCGTAATAACAATAAGTGTTGATTAATTTTTATTCAAAATATGTAATGAATGTTTAAATATTTCAGGAATAATGAAAACGTTAAATGTATTCAAAATGTTGCCGTATTTTTTATTTAAATCCCATTACTGTTATCTTCAAATAATACTAAATATTGTCCCAAGTTTGACCAATATAATTTTCAATAAAATTATTATTTAAATAGTTTGATTGATGTCTGAACGGATAATAACATTGAATAGAAAAATAAAGGGAGAAGAAAGTTTGGTTGCAATCTCTCTTAATATTTGATTTGATATTTGTCTTTCTGCGTTAAGCGCGTTGTGATTTGTATGAGAAAGTATAATCCAATTTGATGAAATAGCGTGTTCTAGTTTTGGCATGTGATGTGATGTGAAAAGGCAAAGGTGTTGTGTTGGCAATTGTAGTTGCATCTCTGATCCAACGAAACATTCTTCCTTCCTCTTCCATCAAATCTAAAGGTACAATTATCACTTGTTTTCAATTTCATCTTCACCAATATCAATTTATCACGATTCATCGATCAAATGCTCGTTGTCTCAATTGTTATAATTCAATTTCATTTTGTTTGTATTGGATTCCATTGTAGGGTAATAATGGATAGAGACAAAGACAGTAAATCCCCTCCTTTGCCACCTTCATCTTCCTCATCCCAACCTTTCAGTCACGACATAATCGGAATGCCCGATAATCCACCCAAAAACAGGGGTCATAGACGCGCTCATTCCGAGATTATCACCCTTCCCGATGACCTCACTTTCGACACCGATCTCGCCCTCGATGAAGACTTCCTCTCCCTAGTAGATCATCTCAATTCCCCTCCCTCTCAAGATAACAACAACCTCATCAACAATAACAATGACAGTAACAACGTTGGTAATGAAAGGCCGAGGGTTAGACACCAACATAGTCAGTCCATGGATGGGTCCATCCAGCCGGAGATGCTGGTCTTCGGCACCGATGACGTCTCCGGCGTGGATGCCAAAAAGGCTATGTCCGCTGACAAACTTGCTGAGCTTGCCTTAATTGATCCCAAACGGGCTAAAAGGTACTCTTTTTTTATTTTCCTTTCTCCCAATGTTTATTTTCATGTGTCAGTCAAATGGTAAAAATTTAAGTGTAGTAATGTAAGTGAATAATTGACAATATAAAACTTCTAAAATAGTTTTATCAGACTTGAACAGATTTATCTTCTGTAGGGTATATTTGTAGCCTCATGCCAAAAAATAATTTTAATTGACAGATAAAAAATGGAAAGAGGATTAGAGCTAGGTAGTCTTTTTATATTGTTCATGGACAAGAGAAATCATTGGTTTTTTTCATTAGGTTTATCCAAAAATGGGCACTGCCGTACTTTTGTTGCCTAGTTTTTGTTTCTGGATTGATTTTATATAGAAATATAAATTAATTCTCTCTGGTGGTTATCTCTAGGTTTCTGCATGATATTTGCTTCCTCTAGAATTTTGTATATTTTTTTTTCTTCTGTCAGTCATAGTTATGCTCTTGTAAACTGCCTTTTCTGACGTGGATGGTAGGTATTGTAGTGTATTACATTGCCTCGCGTCAATAATTCTGGCAAAGACTATATATAGCTTTGGGGCTGAATTACGTCCAGAAGCAATGTTCTGGTAGCAACGAGAGCACAAGGCTTTTGGGTTTTAGAACCTCTCGTATATGATTTATTTTCTATTTAGAAATACATTGCATATGGCTAGGGGATTCAAGTGCCATCTGTATTAGTCACTCAGTAAATTTAGGAAACACTATGAAAGTTACAATGAAACTTAATTACTAGAACACAAACCATTTTAGAATATTTTAATCCATACAAAATAATGCCACAGAGATGCTGAACACTGACCCTTTGTTTTGCATTATTTAGTTTTTAAGACATATAAAGAATTATATACATTAACACTGGACGCAGTTATTATGTGATTCCTCGTGAAGTGATCATTTTTCATTGGTATTACTAGATTTTTAAATCTTTTATGATTGATATTTATGTGCATTTATGTGCATAAGTAGTGAAGATAGCCAAATGAGAACTCAGTGAGGATTAAGATTGCAAGTTTGTAAATATATACTAAAAGGTAAGCGTCAAAATTATTAATTAAAAGAAATACATTAACAGTTAAACCCCTTCTGTGATTGCTAGACTTGTTTCTGTTGCTTCGGTTTCTTGTCAGATTGTAAAGCTATGTGCTGTTTGGCACTGTAGGTGTTTTTGCTTGGTTTCTCTGTAGGGTTAGTTAAAATCAACTAACACCTATGTTTTTTGCATAATGTTGCACATCAATTACATTATTCAATTGCCAATTGTGATTTACATTGTTGAATTTAGTGGTATTGCCACTGTCCTTACCTGTTGCCGATAACTGTATGGGTTAGCTTTGGACGGTCCGATTAAACTGTTACTTTGTGAAAAAATTATGGAGCATGTCTCTCTGTTATTTCTCATTTTTTGTCTTTTCACTTTTCTTTATACCTTGCCCGGGGTAGTTAATGTACATCTCTCCACCTTTCTATTTTAGTAAATCAGCATTCCAACTTGTATATATGTGACATCTTGTATTCCTTTTCTGATGGACACACTTGTCCCTCTTTCACATTTTAAAATTGGAGAGTATAGTGTCATACTTTCTTGACATAAAAGCACTTTCCACGGATCCTTTTATGAAAAGTAAAAAAACCTTACAATCATGACTTATAATCCTTATATGTGCGTGATAGGATATGGGCAAACAGACAGTCTGCTGCAAGATCAAAAGAAAGGAAGATGCGTTACATTTCCGAGCTTGAAAGAAAGGTGCAGACATTACAAACAGAAGCAACATCCTTGTCTGCACAATTAAATCTCTTGCAGGTATTTCCTAACTCATCTTCATCTTATGTTGTACACTTTTCTTCTCTATTCACTTATGTCAATTTCTGACTGCTATTTAGATATGTTTAACCTTCTGTCCACTCAGTGTTGTACTATTGCCACCATGTCTCTTTCTGATTGAAAAACAAATAGTAGGAATTATAATCAATGTTTTTTTGGTCTCTTATGAGCAGAGAGATACAAACGGACTGAATGCTGAGAACAGTGAGTTGAAGTTGCGGTTGCAAACCATGGAGCAACAGGTCCACTTACAAGATGGTAAGCCCGAACTGTTCTAACCGTTTTTAGATTTTTCCTCTATCTTTTTCTTATGTTTTTTTAATTTTAAAAGAACAAAATATTGGCAAAGGTCGTAAGCTACTAAGCTATATGACTTGTGACCTTTGTTGATATATAACAAATTTACCTTGATTTATGCTGAGCCAAATGTTTGATCAACATTCCTGTGTTTGGGAGCCTGTGTAGCAGTTGGCAGGTAATCAACAGTGTGAAAGCAGTGGTTAAATGAAATTGAACTTCTAATTATTTTAAAATAATGAAAGAAAAATCTAAAACTGATTATGGTGTATGTTTGCATACAGCTACCAGTATTTTTTAAATTTATTTAAGTTGATGTGGTATTTTATTTTCACCTTAAATTTAGAGTTTGTGCTTTTTCTGTGACATCAGTAAGACTGCCTATGGAATTATCCTGATCTTCTGTGAAGTCGCTTTTTCTGAAGCCATGAAATTAAAATTTACCTGTGCATGGAGTTTATCCTGATTTTATTTCCTGTTACAAGAATTAATTTCCGGCTCTTTCTACCTCTGCAGCATTAAATGATGCATTAAAAGAAGAAATTCAGCATTTGAAATTAATGACTGGACAAGTCATTCCAAACGGAGCACCTATAAACTTTCCTTCATATGGTGGGGGGCAACAATTCTATCCCAACAATCAGGCCATGCACACTCTTTTAGCTGCACAAAAGTTTCAACAACTTCAAATTCAATCTCAGAAGCAGCAGCAGCATCAACTTCAACAGCAACAACAACAATTTCAACAGCAGCAACATCAACTTCAACAGCAGCATCAACTTCAACAGCAACAACAACAGTTTCAACAGCAGCAACATCAACTTCAACAGCAACATCAACTTCAACAGCAGCTACAACAGCATCAGCAGCAACAAACAGCAACAGGTACTTTAACATCAACAAATGGGGGACTTGAATAGGGAGGGGATACAGTTAACCCTTCATGAAATGTACCCTTCAGCGATTGGGAATTATAGAGACTACAAGTTTCCATCCCTTAATCACTTTTTCATTTAACCTTTTGCCTTGTGCTTTTATAGTTTCTGTAGGTCACAATCATACTACATTTCTTATTCATGAATAGTACAGATGGTACTACCAGTTAGAGATTCAGAATTATGCACTGTAAAATTCTTTGGCTGGATCTGCTGGCGGATTTATGTTTATTAAACCTTCTTTTTCAATTGCTTTGGCCTACGGCTAGCTTGTACAAGTGGCCTCTTTGTGTGTTTAGATTAATAAATAAGATCAAATTTATATACGGTTAAATAGGTGCTTTTATTGATTTTTTAATCAAAATTGAAGTTTTTATTTTTTAAATAGAATTGGAGTTTTTAGTCATAATCTGTATCAATCTTTAATATAAATCTTTATTATTTAGATTATTGGAATAAAACTTAAATTTTAATTGATGAATAGTATTAAAAACACAGAAAAGAGCATAAAGTTTTCCCTATTAAGTAACTGTTGTAAGTGTTAGCAGGAATTGCTCTGTGTTCCTATTTATAATAATAAATTTTAAAGTTTTCAACCAAATTCAACCAATGATAGTGTCTTGGAAGAAATCTTTCGGAGAGTGAGAGGTGATTTAATATTTCAAAATGTTTTAAAAAATATTCATAAGAATGTATTAGTAAGATTTTTCAGTCCCAAAAATCAAATACTCAAAGTATATGTTTATATTATCATTTTTAACCTCAATTGTTTTTATCGTGTTCGACTATTTTTTCTCCACATTAATTTGTGAATTTTATTTTACTGATTATTTCATGTTTATTTACAATTTTATTATTTAAAAAAACTATTCTCTAAATTTAATTTATTATTTTAATTTAATATTTTAATTTAATTTTTATATCTCAGTACGCTATCAAATAATTTTAACATTATTCAAATTTCAATTTTAAAATGAAATTATTTTTAATTTTGTAAACTTAAAAAGCAATGCCAATAAAGACAATATATCTTCATCTAAATAATTTATTTTAATATATTATTTTAAAACTATTCTCTTTGTTTTGTTTTTATTTTTATTTTAAAAGTACACGCATAATGCACATTAAAGTTTTTATTTTGTTGCATAATTAAGTTCCTACATATTTTTTTATTAAGTGTTTCGTTCTATATTAAAAGATTTTTTTAATACTCTTCGTTATTGATTAATAATATTTATTAACAATCACAAACTTATAAAATATGGGTTAAATGAGAAATAAAATATCAAAAATTGTAATTTTTAATAAATTTTAGTTCATTATAAGCACTATTTAAAAAGGCATACCATTAATTTAACTTTTAGGACTTGTGTCAAGTTTCGATCTAAAATAATACAAGCACATTGGCGTCTATTTAAAAAAAATTATTTTTCAGTTTTAAATTTTCTATAATTATTTTAAAATCAATCTATTCCTTACATGCTTAAAAAAATCTTTTTTTAGCTTGTTATGAAAATTTAAAATGTTTATTTTGTAGAGATTAATATACTTCTAAAACAGGTTATAAATTATATTTAGCTAAATTTTAAAGATAGAAATCAATGTCATACTTTTTTTTATTAATTAGTATGCTGTACAATGCATATGTTATTTTTTAAATAAATATATTAAAATTATTTTATAATCTTTTATATTAAATCTTAAATATTATTGTTATACTAATTCAAAAACTTGTTGAGATTATCGGAAAAAAACATAGACTATGAATATGTAATCAACTATTGATTATTGGATCTAATAATATTTTATTAATAAATAATAAAAAAATATAAAATTGTGAAAAAATAAAATTATAAGTATATAAATAAATATATTAAATTATAATTAAGTTTGAGTACTAAAATCATAAATTATATGAAAGTTATAAAAGTAGGTGAACGATGAGAGGATAAAATTATATATATATATATATATATATATATATATATATATATATATATATATATATATATACGTAAATATATTAAATGATCATTAAGTTTGAGGGAGGTCACAACCCTTTCTAAGTTTCTAAAAAAGTAAGTTTCTAAAAAAGTCAGTAAAGAGTAAACTTATGTTTCGATACACTTACTGAACCTTACATCATTAAGAGTTGAGACCAATAATAATTTATATTATATATATTGTGATAAACGATAGTTTCAAAATAGACAATACCTCGATCATAAAAATTGGACATGAGATGAAATAAATATTATATATTTTTTCACTTATTTATATATATATATATATATATATATATATATATATATATAAATAAAAACTGTTTAGATTGTTGCATAGACATTAACAAATATTAATTTATTAACTTTAATGAAAAATATCAATTTCCTTGAATACCTTTATAATTTTAATAGGGTGAAATAATTGTCTCTCAATTATAAATCATTCTAGTGATTTTTTTAATAAAGTGGTTGTGTAATTACTTTTGAGCACAATTACATATTTTATTAAATAATACAATTATTTTAATTTAATAAAAAAAATTCTAATAAAAACAATGACACAAAAAATAATTGTAAATAATATATATCGTTTTATATAATGATATAAATGACCATAAATCTCAATTGCATCAAATTTTCTTTGTTGATTTAACCTATCAAGATTTAAGTCCTTTTTTAAAAATCAAGATTCAATATCCTTCATAGTTGTAGACTTAAGTATTAATGGATGAAGCTAAACACAATGATTGAGGCAACTACTATTTATTTATTGAAGCATAAAAAACTGATATTTATTTATTTATCTTGTTGGATCTCTCGTTGAGAGTTTTCCCTTTGTTGTCTTGGACTCCACAACCACAAGCAAACCTACCCACCCACCAACCAAGAGTAGCATAAACACACTGAAAATTCTGCCTTTGTGTTTCACAACGGAGGTAGGTTTAATCTCTCTAATGTTACTGTTTGTTTTTAATTCCCTTTTCTCTGAGAAAATTCGTTCAATGATTAGGGATGTTATTTTATTTTTCCCCCAAATGCTGCCAGATGTTTGATGAGAAGCCCTGTATTGGCTTTGATCTTGGGTGTTTCCAATTTCATAAAGATTGGAAATTTCTGCACTTCTATATTCCAACTTAGAGAATTAAGTGTGTGGTTTATGTTATTAAATATTGTATTTGAGGATTTATTGTTCCAGTAGTTATTTATAGAGTGTCTTGCTTGATTTAGTGAATTCCTCTTTGTGGCCGACTTGTTTTGTATGGTAAGTCCTAGTTGCGTAAAAAGTGGAAGATACTGAATGGTGAATACTGTTTTCTTACTCACTGATGGTAATTCATGTATGAGCAGAATTATTGTCTTTTGTGTGCTTTCTTATTTCGCATATATTTCTTTATATTTTGATGCATATGGTTAACTGTTATGCTATGAGAGTAATTTGGTAAAAATAGTTTATTTTTGCTACTACACCAGTTCATTTCAAGTCAAACATTAAAGTAAAATAAAAAAGGCTTGTGCAGGTTTTTGGAGTTTAAAAGCTGGCCTTCATGGAGGATAGGAAGAACTGCGATGAATTTTGGGAAAGCAACTGTGTAGATAATGGCGCTGAATGCATGGAGGATGTAGACGTAATTATGCATGATAATATGAATCGGGATTTTGAACCTTGCGAGCCAGTATCAGGGATGTTATTTCCTTCCAAAGAAGCTGTTAAGTCATTTTATAGGAAGCATGCTTCTGGAATGGGATTTGGCTTCATTGTGAGAAACTCAAAAAGAGGATGGGATGGAAAGTTAATTACTTTATACTAACATGTAGACAAGAGATAACTCGTGTGGCAAACATTTTGAAGACAGTGCCCACAATAAAGAAAAATTGTGAAGCCAGAATTACAGTTTCCTTCAAAGATGGTTTGTGGTACATGATGAAAGCGGTACCTGACCACTCTCATGTAGCCCTACAAAGGCAATGATTCTCAAAGTAAACAAAAAAGCACGAGCATGCACTTGAACAGAACAATGGAAATCAATCATGAAGCAAAGGTGGTTATGTACAAGACCATGCAATCTCTTGCCTGTGGTGTGGGAGCGTATGGAAATTTATCATTAATTGAACGAGATGTAAGAAATCATGTTCAAAAGGAAAGACGTTCAATTGGCAAGGAAGGTGATGGTAAGGCTCTAATGAGTTATTTGTTAAGGATGTTGGAGCAAAATGGTAATTTCTTCTACAATATAGACATGGATGATTTTTTTCATTTGAAAAATATATTTTGGATCGATGCAAGAAGTAGAGCGACAAATGATCGGTTTGGGGATGCGGTTACTTTTGACACAAAATATCTAATAAAAAAGTATGACATACCATTTGTTTCTTTTGTTGATGTTAATCACCATGGATAACATGTTTTATTGAGATGTGGTCTACTGTTTAGTGAAGACAGAGTCATTTGTGTGGCTGTTGAAAAATCTCATGTGGACTATAGATATGATAACATTATAGTATATAGATGAGTACAATCCTTATCTTACTAAACTGGTTTTATAAAATTAAATTAGATATCTTATCATTTCTAAGATAATATCAGAGTCAACTCAGGTAATGTTGGGACAATAATTGTTATTAGTGATGAAATCGGGACAATAATCATTAATAGTGATAAACTTAACAATCTAGTGATAGACTAAATCACATGTTATCAGATTAATATTAGACCACTCATCTTTGAGGTAAGAGGGTGTGATGAAAAATTATCTTCAATGTGAAAGGGTATGATGAAAAAATCTTTCTCGATGTGAAGGGTTGTGTTAAAAAATCTCACATCAATTAGATATATAATAACATTATATTATTATATAAATTAGTATAATTTTCACCTTGTTGAGTTGGTTTTTTGAATTATAGTTTCGTTGCATGTCAGACAATCCTGTGAAAGGTATAGTGAGTGACCAATACAAAGAAATCTAAAATGCAATTTATCTAGTCTTTCCAAAAACCCAACATAGGTGGTGTTTAAGTTGGATACAAACACTGAATATAAAATGTGTAGTTTATGATACCTTCACAAAAGTTGAACTTGAAGATCAATGGGGTCTTTTCATAAAAGGGTTCAATTTACATGACAATGAATGGTTGAGTGAGTTGTACACTGAGCGAAGGTAGCAATTGTACTTATGGTGTATTGGAAGACAACCAAAAGAACCTAACTTTGAGGCTGTATTTCATCGTGGCAATCATGATATTAGCTGCAAATGTTTATTGGTTGAGGTTAGAGGTATTATGTGTAGACATTCGCATATTGTGGTTGCACAAGAAAGGGTGAAGTGTCATCAAAGTATATCTTGCCTAGATGGAGCAAAAATATAGAAACGATACGTTCATGTACTAATAAGAGTAGTTATGATGTGACACGATTGAAGCCACAAATGCAAAGGAATGACAACTTATGCAAGTACTTTTATGGGATTGCAGAACTTGCTACAGAGTTCGAGGATGTTACCCATTTCCTTCAAGGTAGCTTGAATGATTTGAAAAGGAAGGTGCAATCCATGGCTATGTCCACTAACCGGCCTTCATTCCAACCCGGGTAGAAAGAAGCAAAAGAAAGGTCCAACAACTATGTAAAGTCACTCTGCCGTCTTCTCTGTTCCTTTAGGCTTGCTTCCTGGTGAACGAATAATATTAATCTTAGGTTTTTAGCTGAGTTGCATCTTTTCTTTTGGTTGATATGGCTTAGATGACATAAGTATATACTATTGGTATGCAAAATACCATTTCTGTGAATAATTTTAGATATCTTAATATTTTACCCTCTTTTAATCTTGATGCTAGTATGCAACTGTACATTGTTGTATAGATTTATCAAATAAACCTATTATCAATTTTGAACCATCGGAACATGCATGAAAAATGCTATCTTGAGTATTTTAACCACTAAATTTAAACCACCCTCCTTTTCAACTGAAATTTTTATTTTACAAAGTAATTGATTTTGTGCTGTAATATATTCAATTTCTGTTGATTCTGCATATTAGCCATATACCTCTATTTCAATACATGAATATCCAGGAATTTATTTGAAGTCAAAAAGCCTATTAAGAAACCAAACTGGAGTAAATTGGAAGTCTGCAGGATGATATGAAAAATCTATGAACAATTTTTATCAAGTTACAGCAGAATCATTATTTGGGAAGTCATTTAATAATCAGTATCTTTATATTATTACTACATTTATATAAATTTCCATAAGCAATAAGATGAAATGAAATTAAAATCAATTTATGCACGTTAATTTTTATAAATGTTTTTTTTTTAGTATTTAACTTCTTTAAAATCTGATATACATAGTTTAATTTTATCACAGTTGAACTACATGCATTGCTCGTGACAGCATCATATATGTCCTCTGTAATGCATGTTGAATTGCATACGTGACTTTTGCGTTGGAAAGAACTCTTTTCAGTTGTAGAAGTATGCAGTGCTGGTGAATGTATTCGAGCAAAACCAAGTTTAAGTGTCATCTATTCTTGTTTGTCTTATTTCATAATAATAATAACATTTAAATACTTTCATAATAATAATAATAATAATAATAATAATAAGTATGCCTCCTAACTAATATTACATTTTAAATTCTTTTCATGCTTTTAATTTTTTTTTTCGAAAACGATTGGTGTTTTGAAATCATGCATGGACTAATTAGAATTTACGGAATATGAAATAAATAAATAATTTTGGTTTGAAATGAGTAAATTATAATGTATGAAATATCAAGATGACTTTCATTTGTCCTGGTATGTTTGGTTACTGTGAGTTTGTTTTATTTTCAGTAATAATTCAATTAAAGTTTTCCATTTCCATACTATTTATAATAATAATAACACAATCTTAATTAAATATTTTGTTTTCTTAAATAGGGTAGAAAAAAAAACATAGAAAGAAAGCAAAAGAATAAAAAAAAGGAACAACATTCGCATAAGGAAAACTTTTCGTTATGAGATCTTCCTGATCCCTGAAGCAAACGTATACTAAATTTGCATAACAAAACCCTAATTTCAGATCTCAATCGTGATGTAATTAGCTCCTGCAGAGGCTCCCCATTGTTCACAAATCTTCTGCATTTTAAATGTACAGGTTTGCATTTCTATACATCGGAGTTTGGAATGTACGTACATGTACATGATTCATACACGTATTCATTCCTTATATGATCGAAAAAGTCTCAGCATTGGTTTCATTTGATTGATAAACCACCCAATTACGTTTTGGTGAGAATGTTGTACAGGCTAATGACATAATCTATTGCTGAATTGTCATATTTCGTTAAATAAATCATTTCTGGGCGGTGTTGCGGAAGCATATGAACGTCTAATCGTGGGTTCTTCAGATACTGCTCTTATAGCTTGAGTTTGCCTCAAACTGCACATGTTTAGTCTACTTTTATCCACAGGAGTCTACGTGATTTATAGAATAATTTTATTCACAAATTCTACCCAAGTCTAAGATGTATATGTATTACCATGCTCATAAAATTAACTCAATTCAACCATGTGGATGATCACAAAAGGAAATATAGAAACAGTGTAACGATCAATACCTTCTTTCTATATATAGGAACTAGAATCTGTATACATAGGAACTAGACTCTGTATACATAGGAAATAGATTCTGTTTGCATTGAAGATGACACATATGGTATGATATGGTACACAAATAGTCTTTCTGCTTAAGCATATGTGAAAGAGTTTGATGTTCAAGTTTATTTGAGTGTAAAATATTTTTATTGGAAGAAGTTAGTCTCTTAACTGGTTCTTAATATTTAAAAGTTTAATCTTTTATCTTTCGGCCCATCCTGGTTTCACCCCACCGAAGTTTCAGAGTTTTATTACAGTTCAATTTATGCTACTTATTCCACATACAAGTTTGAAGGAAGCTATCTAATTAGTAATTCAAAGCATTCAGGGACTCCATCATTTCTGTCAGTGATAAGCTTTCTAGGTGACCTGCTTCTTTGTTTCTAGGTCATCAGACAATTTTTGAACAAATATTTATTTACTCCATGCATGTGTATATGGTAAGTCTTGTGCAGCTTTAGTTGACTGCTGACATATACATGCATCACATTACCTTGTATTTTCTGAATTGAAAGTTTGTATTGTATATTACCTGAAAGCAGTAAACATTATGGCCGGCCCTGGAGATCCAATGAAATCTGAATGGATAGATAGAATAAAATCCGAAGGATCCATTCCACTTCTTGATCCAAATAACTGTTCAAATGGTTGGGCTTCACCTCCTGGTGCAACATTCAAGGTTAGAGGTCCCGACTATTTTACAACAAAGGTTAAGATTCCTGCTGGTGATTATCTGCTCAAGCCTATTGGACTTGATTGGATTAGAAGTTCGGTGAAAATTGGCGAGATATTGAAGCATTCAAATAGTAGAGTTAGGAAGGTCATTGATAATGAGTTTCCAGCTGGTGATAAACCTTTTGTGTGGGCCTTCAATATGCAACTCCCAACCAAGGATAACTACAGTGTGGTGGCATATTTTACCCACATAGAGCCTATTACCCAGGGCTCTTTAATGGAAAAGTTCGTGAAAGGTGACGATGATTTCAGAAACTCAAGGCTTAAGATGATTGCAAACATTGTCAGTGGTCCTTGGATTGTGAAAAAAGCGGTTGGGGACCAAGCAATATGCGTAATTGGTCGTGCCCTTTCCTGTAAATTCTGTGTGGCAGAGAATTTCATAGAAGTAGATATTGATATTGGGTCTTCCATGGTTGCAACTGCTATAGTTCATTTGGCATTTGGTTATGTGACAACTTTGACTGTTGATCTGGCTTTCCTTATTGAAAGCCAAGTTGAATCAGAGCTTCCAGAAAAACTCTTGGGTGCATTCAGATTGTCTAACCTCAATCCTGCTTCAGCTAGACAAATTGAACCATCATCTCTTTCGGGCACTGCTAGTTTACAAAGATCTTTATCTAAACGATTGTGGAAGTCAATAGGGCAGATTCTTCTTCCAGGTTCACAAGAAAATAACTCTACTTCTGCCTTACAAAATACTAAAACTGTAGATCCCAATAACAGTCCGACTGACTTCAAAAAGTGGTGAGTATTTGGAGTTGTGATCAACTGTTAATATGTTTTTGATGCTTTATACACTGAAGTTAACCCTCACAATATTCTCTTCAGATTTCGGACTTGTGCTTCGTAACTGCCCACAAAACCTCTATTTTTCATTATTGTTTCCCTTAATCAGGAAAGGTGGAAGGAAAGTGATCAGTCTGATTGGTATCCTGAGAACACAGTATTATTTTGTCCTAGTATATTCTATGTAGTAAATTCAACTATGTTTTTTTATATGTGCCTCCGACCACTAGCTGTTACTTTTCTCTCTTTTGGTTCAAATATACCTTTGTAAGAGGGGTAAGAGAAGAGAGAAGAAAGAAATGGAAACAAATTCTGTTTCTGTTTCATTTTTTTTTTTTTTTTTTCAGAATAGAGATAAACTATATATGAATAGATCAAATCAAATAGTTGGTGGTTAAATTCAATCCCAATAACAAGGAAAAACTAGCAACTCATAATGAGAAAGGGACAAACAAGCATGAAGATCATAATGACTTGGTGTAGATTCTTCCTCTCCAAGCTTCCAATGGTTGCAATGGAGTTTTGCTCCCTTTACCCCCTCGTTGGTGAGCTTCCTTCGACTTTGAGTTTTATAAAATATTCTTAAAATTCTCTTTCTATGGCCCAGTTTTCTGTTAATTTGTTTGTATTTTATTAAATATTATGATATTTCTTGGTAAGCTGTTCCACAAAAACAGTTAGCAATGTGTTCTGTGTTAGTGTTACTATACTAATCTTGATAACAGTATACTGTCTTTCTTTTCTTTAATTTACATCTGAGACTTCAACACTAAGTGAATCACATCAAAGCAGCTTGAGGGTAATAAGTTGTCATTAATTGATTCAGAAAAAGGGTCAATAGCCTTGACTATATTTTCTTTGTTTTAATTTTTTTTTTTTTTTGGTATTATGGTTTTGTATACAGATATATATACCAAGAGAAATTGAAGGGAAATGAGGTCCATTTCAGGTGGTTATTCTCTTAATTTTTCTTGATATGGTAGAGCTGACAGTGACTACTGAAAGTAGAGTACCCTTATGTACATTTTTTACTAAGTTTGTTTTTGTAAATTGTAAATATGTATTGTTGACAAATCAGAACTTACATGCAAACTGAAATGGCGATGTATGTTGCTATCCAGTTATTCCTTGTATGTTGAAATTTAGATTTCCTAAAGCATTTTATTTATATTTTTTTGTAATTCAAGTAATTTTATATTTTTACATTTTACAATTCAGTTACGTTTGACGGCTAAATTAAGGTGGAAGGTGGAACTCTGCAATCCGGGGATCTAGCACCTTCTGTCTGGTACATGACCTATAATACAGAGGTTCCAGTAGATATAAATTGTTGGCAATCCTACAAGTTTTTACCAGTTGAAAACGGGGAGATGCCAAGGGGAAAGACAGAGGAACAGAAAAATGTGCAACGAGCAAGCTTATTTTCTAATCACTGGATCTGCTTATCAGTCAATTATTTTTTATTAGATGACATTCTATGCTCATATGTTCCTCACTTTGAGCATCTTCTATTCCAAGCTGATTTTCATGTGCATATGCCTAAATTAGAAATCTGCTATTGAATTAGACAATATCAGCAATTGATTTGAGCAGCAAAATAAAGTAAAAATCCAGAGAAATGTTATTTTGGTCCCGAATCAGCTGCTGCTATTTGAGCCCCTATTTGTTTTGACATTGTAAAAATAATTTCCACACTTTGAAGGAAAAAATACACAATGTAAATCTGTGACAGAATATTGATTTGACTCATCACAATTATGTTCAATAGTTCAAATTAATCCTGTTAAAATCAATTCTATCAAATATTAAAACAAACTAGTTATCAATCTCCATGCTAGCTAGACAGTCCTATTGAAGGGCAAATCACAGATTGCGAAGTATCATACGCATAAAATTGGAGCTGTTCAAACTCAATCAAACAGCCAACAGCTTAAAATTGGAGCTTACTAGGAAGTCTCACTCTCACATAGTAAGTTTTCATTTAAAAAATACCAATTGCCCTTTATGCTAGACTTTCTGCCAAGATAGATAAAATAATCATAGGAGCTCAATGTGGGAGGTACAATGGGTCAATTTAAACACGCAAATTAGTCCTTCAAAGATTCAAGAGACATCAGTTGGACCCGCTAAGGCATCAATTGTTGCCTTAATATTTAGTAGTAAATTACAATTACCACTCTTGAAATTTTGTGAGGTTACACAAACATCTGTTTTTTTAACATTTTCAGTAACCTCCCCGTTAAACATAAGATACACTCTGTAATATTTTCACACACATAAGGTAAGTGTAATGTAAAAAAAGCATGTCAGTATAATATTTTTTAAACAATTGAAGGAGGTAAGTGTAGAGATAAAAAAAATAAAACATGGGATGTTTGTACAACTTTACTAATCCTAAAATGTGATTAATGTAATTTCTCAATCTTTAATTGACATCAATTTAATTCAGTAATATATCTTGGGATACCAGTTTGATTTCTAAATTGAGGATTGTTTTACACTACGGAGAACCATACCATTGCAAAAAATCATTAGAGGACTCGGGACTAATTTGATTATTTACTCAATGGTCATCACTTGATATAACATCAACAATAAGCTTTGTAATTGAACATAAATACAGTAACTGGTTAACCGAATATATAAAGATGAATATTAAACTCTCTAGCATATATAAACTGCTCACCTATCGTTAAGGTTGAGTTGTTACAAACAGCAGAAATCAAGAATAACCAAACCAAATCATTCAGTGATCACTGATCACATATAAGTCCATAATAACATAGTAGACCATGCCCAGGCAGTGTAGAACAAATTTAAACTTTAATTCAATAAAATTAGTCACTAATTTCTACTTATCTAGTAAAGTGGTAATAAGATATCTTAATATGATTGTATCGTCCATAAGCAAACAAACTAAACAAAAGGCAAAAAGAAGCAGCAAATTTGCAATGAGCAGTATCACTTCAAGAGGCGAGAATATACAGCATCAGAGAACGTTCATTATCACAAAAACTAAATATGCAAACTCTGAAAAGGGACATTAGTGAAGCTTTAAACAAATTCTATATTGGAAGAATTAGAATTGCATTGATATCAATGTAGAGTGTCAAGGCAACATCTGATATCACAAGATATATGACTTTAACATTAGACAATTTCAACATTTCCATTTGGCAAAGCACTCATCTGCAGTGTTCTTCCAGTGCTTGATGCCAAAAACCGCACAGACGGTAGGGAAGGATCGGTAACAGATTCAATCTCAAGAAAGCTTAGATCAAGCGCACCAGATCTCTTCAAACTAAAAACAAAGACAAGCACAATCCATCCCAATAAGGAGAGTGCCCAGTAATTGCTCATCCCATGAATCAAACCCCATGCTATAGCATACCCAACAACAATCCCTGACAAATGGCCAAGAAAACTTGCCTGAGGAACAATGATGGAAGTGAAAATAAGCGATTCAAACGGCGCAAAACTGATAGGGAGAGAAAGAAACCCAAAGAGATCCAACTTGGAAGATGGTTGCTTCACAGACAGAATTGTCATCCACCCAAAAACAACACAGGAATACCCGACAGCCGTCACTCGACGAAAATATTCAAGCTTGAATCTCTGAATCAACAAATGATACATTGCCAGAACCAGCACTCCTGATACAATAACCAACACAAGTGTGTATTGCAAGTAGTACTCAACACCAAGGCCTAAGTGCCCAAGCTGCTCTACCACCCCAAGACTCCATAATGCACTCATATTAAAAACAAGATGAATAACACTAATATGAGAAAGAGCAGAAGTAATTATCCTCCAATAATGCCCTTCTACTGCAGTCTCATAACTCAGACCCACATGTGAATACCCAATATTTTTCTTCTGTATATAGAACCAAATCATGCAGCATATTCCTATGATACAACTTGTGGCAGGTTTTTCCAAGATCTCATAAAATAAAGGCTTCCCCATTTCCCAGAATCCCTTCTAATGGCCACAATCAAACAACACAACTTTTCCCAGAATCCCTCCAATTCAATCAAACGGTCCCAAATCCAAGGGTTTTTTTTTTCAATTTTCAGGAAATCTCTGAAATTAATGAGACCCGCCAGATGAAAAATCGCGCAGATGTTCCCCAGCACGGAACAGAAGCCTTTCTGAAGGGATTGCGCGAGAACAGAACCAGAAAGGTAGAGTCTTTAAGTTGAGGGAGTTCATAAACGACGCTGAAGAAGTTCAATTATGCAATACAGTGGTGGGGTTCTTGTATTGAGATTAAATAAAATAAAAGGGGTTTGGTGACGAGAAAAAATGAAGAATGAGGGTTGAGAAGAATGCTCACCTTGAAGTACTAGACGATTCCAGTTGAGTCCTTCTATGGCCTGCGTTTCGGGAAGCATACGCATATTCCCATCATTTTTCTCAGTTCATGATATCTTAAATTACATCATTTCATGGTAGGTGTCTTCTATTTTTCATAAAAATAAAATTACATTATATTAATATATATATATATATATATATATATATATATATAGTTGAAGTTTTGTAAAATAATTTAATATTATCATTGAATTATAAATATTATTATAATAAATTTGATTATTTTTATTATATTTGACATTGAGTACATAAAAAAATTTATATATATCTTCTTATTATTAAATATACTTATAAGTTTTATTTTTATATTTTTTATATTTATTTATTATTTATTAATAATATATTATTTAACATAAATTCCTTTTCTTCCAATATATACGAATAAAAAAATTCACTTCCAAGATATCAAAATAAACTATATATTACATGGCATAAAAACTTCTTATTAGAATTTGATTATGTAATATGAGACGTATATAATTTTTTAACTATTTCTTTGAATTTATTTATTTTTTTCTCCAAAGTCATTACAAGTATAAATATCGCACTGCAGAACATATATATTTTTTATTTCATTTAACTTAAAAGAAGAATATATGATTTATTGTTACAATATCACAATATATAGTTTTAATTTTAAACAAATCATGGTAAGATATTAATAAAAATTTAATGTGTTTTATTATATTTTTCAATTATGTAAAATTATTTCTTTTAAATTATGATTCCGAAACAGGTTTTTATGTTTTTAACGAGTTTATCTTTTATTGTTACAATATCCTAATTTTCTATAGTTATTTATTCAAATTTAAATTCAATTTAATTAAGAGTCAATTATATGAAAGAATAATATTATCTTACGTCAATTTATTAAGTAGTATATAGTATATCGGTAGAATAATAAATTTAATTTATGAAAATTTCAATTTAATTTTAAAAATTTATATAAATAAAAATATTTTTTTTGAAATAATTTAAACCTCTCATAATATTTTTCATTTAAAGTAGTAGTCTTTACACGTTACACTTTATATATTTACCGTTAACCTATATATTCTTATATATAGGCTGGAGCGACACCGTTTCTTTTCACACCAGCCAAACTCCGTTGTACTTATGCTTCAGTGCGGTGAGAAATTTAATTTAATTTAAAATTTAAAATTTAAAATTTAAAATTTAAAATTTAAAATTTAGAACTTAAACTTAATTTATTTTATGTTAAAATTATTCGTTTTAGTAGTTTTTTTTTACACAATATATATAAACAATATTCTGGATTTTAAGAAGAAGTTAAACAATAAATTTATAAAATGTGTCACATAAATTTAAAACAGTGGTTATAATAAAGATTTAAGTATTTATATTTTAGAAATTGTGAATCCTAATAAAAGATAACTAAAGTATTTCTTCTTGTCTAAAATGTTAACGAACATAATCTATTAGACTCAAACCACGTGTCTTATATTATCATTGCTTCGTAATCTACAACAAGGTTCCAAAAGCATGAATAAATATTTTTATTTTTTTATATTAATCACATTCATTTTAAATAATAAATATTTTATTATATTTTTATCTTATTATAATTTATAATAATTATAATAATAATATTTATTATTTTTAAATTATTATTATTATTAAATTTATTTTATTATAAAAATATTATTTTATTAAATATAATTAACTCAATTAAATTCTTATAAAATCTTTAAATTTTAAACTTCTCTCCGATTAACTAACCAATTCCATTTTAAAAATATTGGTAATGATCAACAACATAAATTGTAACATTTTTTTTTACATCCCAAATCAACAACATAAAACCAAAGTAAAAATTAGTTATTTTACAAATTAAAATTAATTTATACATTAACTAATCTATAGAATTTATTTTGTACATTTTTTTAATTTATATAGAAATTAAATAGGTTAGAGATTGAATTTCTAACTTTTTTTATTTAAATGAGTTTTATTTTTTTCCTATATTTTTTTAATATATTTTCCTTAATTATTGTTTGATATTAATTATGTACGTTATTATTACGGAATGAGAAAAATACAACTAGATTTGAAATAAAAAAAGTGATGTCGATACGAATTTTAAGTTATTCTCATCAAATTTTAAGATCTTGGAATAAAAAATGTATGTTTTCCAAAACACTCTAATACTGAAGTTATAGTCAAACGTAAAATAGAAAAAATTAATATATATTGTATCACACATAATAAAGATTACAAAATTTAATTTATAGTGATTTTAAATATAATAATTAATACGTGTCTTAAATATGGATTATTTCTTATTAAATGTTTTTAATGTGTAATTGAATAATTAAGATAAAAAAAACTAATTATTATTTTATTTATGGTGTGAATTTGACTTCTAAGAAGTTGGAAGAGTACAGTAAATATATTTTTTTTAGCAAATGTAAAATTTTAACTGCTTATTTTTTAAGGAATTAATTTTTTTCTAGATGTAATATCAATTTGTTTTCAAAATATACTATTTACTTTAAGATTTAAATAACATTAAAAACACGTACATTTTATAAAAAAAAGTAATTCTAAAAATTATAATTTCAAATATAAGATGACCAGGAAGATGAAAAATAATATTAATAAATATTCTATATCAGTAATATGATTAAAGAAAAAGGTAAAAACTTACATTTGAACACATGGATACTTTTATTATATTCATATAAATATTTATTAAACATAATCAATTATAAACGTATTTTATATGATAACTTTTTTAATTTATATACTTGACTATGTTTGGAAATTTTGGGTGAGAGCATTTGTTACAAAAATATGTAATTTGTTAGAAATTTGTACAAGACAATATCTAAGCTAAAAACACAAAATGATGGTTGATGAAAAAACAACACTATGGATGAGCATAAAACACTAACTATCACCATCTATTTTATTCTTATTTTACTTATTTTAGTCTATGTCTTTTTTATTTTTGTGTAAACATTTTCTAAAATAAAAGTGGGTTGTTTTCACCATTTTTGCATATGGAGAATTCAAGTTAAACGACAATGAATAGAGATTAGTCTCTATAATTAAGAACATATTTTGGTGGATTTTTACCTTGAAATTGAGGTTATCCACGTCATTTTTTTGTAATTAATATAAAAAATTGAGCAAAATTTAAGTCTAATTAAATTTTAGATGCATTCCCTTTGTCCATTTTTCAGAACATGTAAATTTTTGCGATAGTCAGAGTCAGCAAAATGTAGGACACGGACCACACATGAGCATATCTAAAACTCCAACTTGACAATGTCGATGTGGTACCTCCACAACCACACAGTTGGTAAGGTGACCCCACTCTTCATTATTCTCATACGTACGATCTCATGAAATCTCCATCTTCGCATCACCCTTTCACCAACTGTACCCTCCTCCAGTCACTTCCTTTTCCATGCATCGCCAAGTCTCTGCATTAATTACTTAGCACTGTCATTGTGAAGGCTATCTTTTGTTTTTCACTTCTGTTTTTGTGTTCATCTTTAACTTGATCTACCTTTTGCTCGTATTCTCGGCTTAAAACAACTAAAGTTGTTCACATTACAACAGGAAGGTTTGTCTTGTTGGGTAGTGGCTGTAGTAGAGGTTCTCCTGTTTTGTTCGGATATTGATATTGGCATGGTGTTTTTCTGAACCTCATTTTCCAAAGAAAGAGAGAGAAGAGACACTTCCAGGAAGAACATGAAAATTCAGTGTGATGTGTGTGAGAAAGCCCCGGCAACAATGATTTGTTGCGCAGATGAGGCAGTTTTGTGTGCCAAATGTGACGTTGAAGTTCATGCTGCCAACAAGCTTGCAAGCAAGCATCAGAGGCTTCTCCTTCAATGTTTATCAAACAAGCTTCCCAGATGTGACATATGTCAAGTACTTTCCTTCACTTTTTCTCCATCTTCGACCTTTATGATATTATCAATCAAATATTCTCTCACAAATCATTATGCTTGGATGAATGGATTGATTTTGGCCAAGAATTTCGGTATTTGTTTGTTTCAAATGAAAAGCAACTGGGATATCTAGGAGTCTAGTTATAACCTTGATTACTATTTAAATATCAAACATAGAGATATGTAACAAAGAAGACCAGATCTAAATTTTATTAACTTGAATCTGTTTGGTATGCATGATTTTGCTTTTAATCGTGTCAATTACCCCCAAACACAAGAATTTATCCCCGGAGAGGGTGTTTAAGAAAACTTCATAGCAGGTCCGTGTAAGGATTGTAAAATCCGATTCCATAATCCTTATAGTTAGTTAGCTTGTGAATAATAATAAATGGTTTTGAATGAGTTTATAATTTTCACCAGGAACTTGAGCTGTGTGAAGGCATGGACTAGTTTATTTGATTTTGAAGTAGAGTATACTAGTTGAAACCTCTGTTGAACATGGATAACTTGATTAACTTTGTGATATATGTAATGTAACTGTAGGATAAGGCAGCTTTCATATTTTGTGTTGAGGACAGAGCACTCTTATGTAAAGACTGTGATGAGCCAATTCATGTAGCCGGTAGCCTTTCCGCAAACCACCAACGGTTCCTGGCTACTGGTATCAGGGTGGCTTTGGGGTCTAATTGCACCAAAGGCAATGAAAAAGGTCAGGTGGAACCATCTAATCCAAATGCACAAGAAGTTCCTGTGAAAGTTCCTTCTCAGCAAGTGCCTAGCTTCACATCCTCTTGGGCAGTTGATGACTTGTTGGAATTAACAGACTTTGAGTCACCCGACAAAGTAAGGGAGCTTTATTTCACTCTTCTAATTGCATATGTTAGCTGAGAAGTTAGAGTGATTGATGAAAGAATCTAGTATGATTAAGAGGGACCATTTTGTTTTGTTGCCTCCAAAATATCCATTTTGAAATAGCATGTAATAGTCAATCATCTATTCAATGACATTTTTTAATTTTTATTTTACTTTTATAACTTAGAAAAACATGTAAACACCAAGATACTCCACTCCTAACTTTAAATTCTGAAATGCCCTCTATATTTCCATAAGGGAAATTGGTTTTGCCAAACCTGACTTTTATACTTGGTTTTTATAATAGATGAGAACTGAAGTTTTTTTTCAATTATTTGATATTTATTATAGTGGTTTATGAGTGGATTGAGGAGCACCAGTAGAGATCTCTTCTCATTTCTTAATTGTGGCACAATAGTTTTTGTTTCCCGACTACGGTGAACAATTAGTTGTACATGTTGTCACGATGAGCATGCAAACAAGTAGTGATGACATGTGAACAGGGCATGTGTAATGCCTAGAGTTTTCCTTAGTTACACCACTTTCAGTGTGTTTAAATTCTTTTCACCATCACACTTGTCACTACCTCCATTCCGTGCTTTGGAAAGTGCAAACTTATATTTTAAGCCCATCGAACGAGAATCCAAACACACACATTGTATTCGGCCTCACCTTGAATTTCTCTTCAAGGTGTTCCTATTGTGGTGGTGACACAACTCTCCACCAAGGATTGACTGTTACAGATGGAAATTACAGGCATGGTGAAAGCTGGCATTTGTTTGTGTCATCCATGGCCTTGGTTGGAATTGTAGGTTGTTTGGACCAACGAAGATATTGGAAGTTCTGCATCCCCTTTAGTACTTAGTTGATGGACTTGGCAGTAATGGTTTTCATCTGTCTCCAACAATGTTCTTTATCGAAGTCACGATTGAATTGAATCCTAGCGTTTAGGTTGTTACTCTTGATAAAAATAGCGTTTAGGTTGTTACTCTTGATAAAAAAAAATTGTGCTAATGACTATAGTTTTTTACTTAATGATAAGCGCTCCATCCTACCAATTGGTATCAGAGTTAAAGTCATGCAAGTCACAATCAAATCTCCCACTTGAAGACTCACTTCACCTGATGAGTTCCTTCACCTAAAGAACTGCCTATAAGAGACCCTGGGCTCGGCTGTTCTGTAGCATCTTCACGAACTGCTTGCGGTTTTCCTCGGCCATAGGGATGTGGACCATGCTGGGAGCACACGACTCAAGGAGGAGTTCCCTGCTGAACTCCAGCATGTTGTCCCATGCTGGCGTTCTGGGGTTGTTCTGTGACCACGTCCATATGGTGTCGAACACCCGATACACGAATGACAGCCCGGCCACGATTCTGCGGGGTTCAATGGCAGCCCGTAGTTGGATAGGATCATCTGATATGTTGCAATCCTCGCCAGCACCCCGGGCCCTTAGCTGTCGTGTGGCCCTCCTCCGGGCCAATATCCTGCCTAAGGCCCTGGCATCCTTCCCGTCTGGCCATTGTTCCGCTATCCTCCAGGTGTCCGTGTTTGGGAAATAGTCGCAGGATGTTTATGGCCTTAATCGCGAGTCGTCTGAGGCCTCCTGCAACGACCCACCCTTCATCTTCCATTCAAACACCCGCAGGACTTTTGGAACCGTCAGTGGATTATTGTCGTCCCTGTCTACAACGTCCAGGTACAAGAACAAAAGCTCTGCGTACATGGAGTTGTTCTTAAAGGTGGTCATATACTACATAAGCGTAATAATAATATTCGTTACCTTGGGTGACCTGGGAGGGGAGGTAGTGATGTTCTCAATAGTGGCGGTTGGCTCGGTGACGTTTCAAGTGGGTCAGGAGGTGGCAGTGATGGGGAAGGGAGAGAGGCAGTACGCGCTGAGCAAGTGCGACGCCGACAGTCTGCATCAGTTGGTCTGCTAGAATGACAAACCAGGGAAAGCTACTGCATGATTAAGGTGTGAAGACCGACTGAAGTCAGTCTTCAAGTGGGACCGGCTTATATTTCTAGTCACACTATTCTACCCTCTAAATTTAATGTCAACCACCCAAAGTATAGTAACTTTGAATTTGGAACATTGGTTTTGGTGAAGAGAAAATCATGGCCAGCTTTGTTGATAATTGTTGCTATGCATACACACATGAATCCAGCTTCTATAAATACTCATTGGAGCTGAAGGAAAATTAATTCCAACGCAGTGAGTGCATTTGAGAGCTAGAGAAATTTTGTAGTGTGAGAAAAATTTACTAGAGAGAAACTCTTGGGTGTAATTGGGTTGTGGGTTTGTGAGAGATATATAGACTCTATGGTTGATGGATCATCTTCAACCAGTGGCATGATACTTAAACATTCACCCACCCTTTATCCAGTTCCCTCCCAATAGCCCATTCTTGCTTTTAAAAATAGTAAGTTAATCCTCCCCCTAAACAAATCTAAATTTACCTTGCAGCAGAATTTTGAATCACTGATCAATCAAGGAAATTGTTGCCAAATAAAGCAAGATTGTTATCCATTCTTAGTGAAATGCATCGAGGACTTGAGTTTTAAGTTACTTTTTCAGGATCATGTCTGGTCTGATGCAAGTCTGAGCAATTTTTTGTTTGTTAGTTTGAGGGATGGAGACTGATACATGATTTACCATTGTATTCTATATGTAAAAATGATTCATCAAGGAAGAGGCTAGTTCTTTTAATTTATATGCTAGGTTGACTTCTATGTAGTACATTCTGGCTCTTGATTCTGGTTTATTTGACTATGTTCGTAACTTCAAACAATATCTTGTTTCAACTTTGCACCATACTTTGTTGAGGGTTATGGTAAGAACTTCTTCATCTGATCACTTAATTATATTGTTCCTCTTGTGCCCTATTATAATGTTGGGAACTATTTCATTTTCTTCACGCTCAGAAGCAACCCCTGGAGTTTGGAGAGCTTGAATGGCTAGCAGATGTGGGCCTTTTTGGTGAACAGTTTCCTCAGGAACCTCTAGCCGCTGCTGAAGTTCCCCAGCTTCCAGTGACACATACTAGCAATGTTGCCTCACACAAAGCTGCTAAATGCTTCATGTCTTACAAAAAGCCTAGGATTGAAGTCTTAGATGAAGATGAGGAGGAGCACTTCACTGTACCTGATCTAGGCAAAAACACATGAATAGTTTAATGAGTTGTATATTAATGAACTCTTCAGTATGCCTGATCTAGCTGAAGCTAAAGACCATGAGGACTATTGCATGTATCTGTGTAGATTGACGAGTTTTATATGCATACTTCTATTAGGACACCAAGTAATGAAGTATGTTGTGTGTAGTTGATAAATATCTCATTTTAGGAGCTTCGAATGGTTATACTTAAAGAAAATAGCATAGATTAAACCTTAGGGGATTAAATTTTCCTTTGTCTCTCGGCTGATTAACCATTTTGGCAAGATACTACCTTTGTATATTGCAGGCAAAAGCCAGCCTTATGTCGACATTTGTTCGATGACAAGCTTTAGTTTCATACATTGAACAATCTATTAGATAATCTTTTGACCATTATCTTTAAGCATACAAAAATCTGGAAAAAGAAATCATCATCTAGGTTTCTAACATGAAACTTGTTGTAGGAGAAAAGGGTGAAAAACTATTAGGAATGACTAAAAAATCAATATGAACCTTAGTTAGAGATGGTGAAAGTATATATATTATTATAAAGTAAGATTTCAGTACACGTATAATGTTATAAAATAAATTTTCATAAACATTATATAAAAGAATGAAAAAAAGGAATAAATATTTAAATTTCTTGTATTTCACCAAATGAGGTATCTTATTTAAGAGTATATAATATAACCAAAATATATAACTCAAAGATTATACACATTTAAATTATATAAATAATAATAAAGACTAATAAAAAGTAATAAGAAAATAAATGTATAGTGAATAATATTTCATAACACTTTGAATGTTTAATGATTCATAAAACTTTATGAGATAAAATCTTAGAAAAAATAAAACAGGACAGGATTTATCAATCAAATTTACTCATTTATCCTCTTCATGTAAATCATCATCTTTAAGGTGATGAAATCCAATCTTATGAACTAAATGTTCTATTACTCTCTTTATTAAAGATTTTGTAAATAAATTTGTTAAATTTTCAAATAAGCCTTCTTAATTCTATATTCTCATTCTTTTGAAGATCAAGTAAAAAATAATTTTGAAAGTATATTTTTTGTTTTGTCTCCTATCCTTCTTTCAATTGAATAATGCATATATTACTATCTTCATATATAGTTGATGTCATTTTTCTCCGAAGTTAAACCATAAGTTTCTTGCATTTATTGAATTATTAATCTCAACCAAACACATTCACCACTAGTTTCATATAATTCTAAAATTTTTATATGATTTGATGATATTACTATAATGGTTTATTTCATAGGTCATTATAAAATTACAGTATCATATAAATTTTATTTATGATTAACCATTAAGAGAATCTGACAAATAACTTGTATCTCCGTAACTTTTTAGATTTAATTTTGAAACATCTGAACAAACCAAAATTTAAATTACTATTAAGATAATAAAGTATATGTTTTAATTCAACCGAATATTTTTTCTAGTTGAAAAACTATATCTTACTAATAAATTTATAGTAAATGTTATATTAGGTCAAGTATAGTTTAACACTAAAATATGCTACTTTAGAGTCAAAAAGTTCTGAATTATTCTCTTGAAATTTAAAAGGATCTTTATTCTCTCTAAAATTTATATCATTTTACAAATTAAATCTTTTAGAGAATTTCATTTAAATATAATTTTTAAGAAAATTAGACAAATAGTTTGTGACAATATTCAATAGATGTAAATTTAAACCTTATTTTGCATAAGTTAGTTATTTGTAATTCAAATTTCAATATTAAGGTATGGTAAAAAATTTCTAAAAATAGTCAATGGTGTTCTATATCTTATTACTTGACTACTTGCAAAAATTAATCAATTAATTTAAGTACTTTAAGTATATTGAGTGTAAATCCAAAACTCCTTCATTTATCAATGAGTTTAATTCTCTTTAATTTTATAATTCCATTTTGTCTAACCATCACAATTTATGGTTTTTGAATTTCAACATTATTTATAACATTTAATGTTATACTATATGAGAAAATATTTTTTTTACTTGAGGGTTCTTACATTTTAAAATTAAAGAGTAACCACACTTATATTGTGCCTCAGCATTAAAGTATATTCAACTGAAATATATTATAATTAAAGCATTAATAATTGTTACATATGACTTAATCATTATATGTTAGGCCAATAAATACATTTGATATCAAATTAACTAAGCTTTGTAAATAAATTACCTTTTCAATATCTAGTTTACATTGATTTTAAAAGATTAACATGACATAATGATAATGTATCCCATTTAATATATCTTTCTAAATGTGCATTCTCTCCTAATGTTGGAAAACATTATCCATCAAACTCACAATGGCCAAATTAAGTTGTAAAAAAATCTTTGACCAAATATTCAAAATACTTTATTATTAATGGAATTCATATCAATCATATATTTTCAATCTTATTTGAAAAATCATTGAAATTTACTTTGGGTTGTAATTAGAACATATATAACACATTCAAACAATTCTTAAACGGAAAATATTTAATTATTGACTCAAAACTAATTGGAAAAGAGGTGTATATAAGATAACTTGTTGGTTTTATATATATAATTGCAAGTAGTAAAAACTTTCAATCTTCAACTTCACAATTAATTTTAAGTATTTTGTACAATTTGACAAGTGTATAAACATCATTAAACATCATTATGTACAATTAATTTTAAGTATTTTGTACAATTTTAAGTATTTTGTACAATTTGACAATGTATAAGCAACAAATGTTCAATGTCAAATTCAATTTCAATGGACACACAATATTTATTAAAATGTGAGATGTAATTTAAACATCATTATCTAAGAAAATTTTATTATTTTAAAAATGAGTTCTTATAAAAATAATTGAGCTAACAACTTCACAAAAGTCAGGCTGCAAATAAATAAAATAAATATATGATCATAAAATTAATGTATCAATTAAATCATAAATTATATAAATTTATGATCTAATAGATTTTTTTTAACTCCATAGTGATGATCTTATCATCTATTTTCTTTTTAAATATATAATGCATGATAAATTATTAAATAGAAGAATATTGTGGTTCTTAAGTGAGTGTCCAAATAAAATTTTAACTATTCTTTACATAATATCTGTTTCAAATGTACTAATATAAAAGTTTAACAATTAAAAAATATTCCATCTCTCTTTTATTATTTTTTTCAATATTTAAGAAGTGATCTTAAAATATATTTTCATTAAATATAAGATAAACATATACAAGGAGCAATATTTATTTTGACAATATCTATTAAACTTTTTAACATTATTCTATATTTAGGAAATTGAGACAAAGTTGTGGCTGTAGTTTAGTGGTGAGAATTCCACATTGTGGCCGTGGAGACCTGGGCTCGAATCCCAGCAGCCACAATAAATGTTTCTTTTAATAATTTAATTTTGGTGGTATATTTAAAATAAGACTGGTCAAATGATTATGAATAAAATAAATTTATCCCTTAAAACAATGAAAAACAAAACATATTACTATTCTAATAATGGTATGGTATTTTAAGAAAAGAAATTTCATTTTTATCTTCAGATTTAAAAAAAAATATTTAATTAGATAAGAAAATCTTTCAATCATTATATAACGAATATAAAAATTCTCATACAGTCTTTAAGATGGTATATATTTCATATTAGCTTAATTGCTAATCACTTGAAAACCAGTTTTTATCTTCAGATTAAAAAAATGAATAAGATAAACAAAATATTTAATTAGATAAGAAAATCTTTCAATCATTATATAATGAATATAAAAATTCTCATACAATCTTTAAGATTATATATATTTCATATTAACTTAATCACTTATGTTGAAAATCAGTATATAAAAAAAAAATTTAAAAGAAAACAATGGATATTATAAAAATATTTTTATTTAAATATTAAATATGTAATGCGAACAAAATTTTATCCTTTTTAAATTTTTGATCTCAAATTCTTTTTTATTTTATAAAAGAATCAACTTTTGTGTAAGATGTTTTAGGAGCTTAAACATAAATAATTATAACAAAATCATTTTCAATGACAAAATGAGATAATTGTTATTCCCTTCTTTAAGAAAAAAAAACTTAGACAATTATTATACCACAAGTATCTTAATTTTTTAAATTCATAAATGAACTTGTTCAACTTGATTAAATAGTTCTTTTTATAATTTTCATTATTTGATAAATTAAATCTTTTATAGAATTTCATATAAATATCATTTTCAAGATAAAGACGTAACAATATCCATTAGATGCAAGATGAATCATTTATGTGAAAATAAATTAATTAAAAACCTAAAAGTATTTGCACTAGTTACGTTACATGTGATTCAAAATTCAATATTGGGTATGGTGAAAAAATTAAAAATAATCAATTGTGTTTTATATTTCATAACTTTACCATTTTCATTTCTCTTTCCAAAGAGTTACTTGTATCGAATTGATTTAACACCTTCAAATATATGAATTATAAATCCCAACATTTTTTACTTATCAAGAGAGTTTACATCTCTTTGATTTCATCTTTCCATTTTATTCAATCATTATTTATTGATAATCTTTATGAACTTTGATCCTTAACATCATTTATAACATTTAGTACTATACTATAGAAAGGAAATTATCATTGATTTCATATTATTTCACTCATGAAATAATTAATTTAGATATCTGAGTTTTGTTATGATTTTACTTGAGTTTTTTTTTTAAACTAATATATATTAATTATTTCAAATGAATCTTTTAGGATTTTAATCTTGAATGAGTTCATCTTATCTTTTGGTATTTTCATCTTTATAATTAATTGACAAATTTTGTCTTTTCTTATTTGATGATTCTTAGTTACGAGAATCATTGAGTCACCACACTTATGTCATATTTGATATTTGCTTGCACTATTAGAATACTTAACTAAAACATCAATTATAATTGAAACATTAATTTAATACATATAACTTTGTAACTATATTTTTTGTCAATAAATA